CAGCCAGGCCGCTGCTGCTGCTGCCACCCCTGCCCCAAGCACTGCCAGGGAAGATTGCAATATGAGCAGGTACAGAGACAGCAAAGCAATACCTGTATGCCCTGAAGGGGAAAAAAAAAATGCAAGCAAGAAAGAAAACATCAGGTTTAAAACTGACCCTTCCTTCCAAAAGATGCATTAAAATGGTCTCACAGCTATCTTACACACAGACCTACAAGCAACAAAAAAATCACCGAGAAGTTCAAAAGACACTGGTTGCTTTCATCTGCCACACATTTTACTTTTGAGTCTGCAGTTCTGTGGGGTTTCTCAGATGAGCAGACCTCTCTTCTAAGTATTTCTAACATACTTATTGCCTTAGAGTCCTATCCTGCAAATCCTAACAATCATTACATGCATGCATTCTTGTCTGCAGTATCAAAAATGTATTTCATATCTGTTTTATCTATCTACCATGTATTATATCTAGGACATCTTCAAAAATTACAAGCACATGAAAGACAACATAGTTTTGTAAAGTATTTCTGTCACAATACAAAAAGTCCAGCAGTTTTTAAATCAAGAAATCCTAGATAGGTTTCCACCATCAACCCCAGGTAATCTGGTACATTTCCTACTTCTTCATCTACAAGAACTGTAAGTGGAGGAAGAGAAGGAAGAGAATTCTGCAGCTTCTGCATAATATAATCAAATATCCTCCTCCTCCTACCAAAATGGCTTAAAATAGATTCACAGTAGATTATTCATTTGAGGGTCTTGCTATCATGCCATTGTTTCAAGCTCTGCAACTCAGAGGACTGGAAACTGAGGTTGTATTTCTGGTAATGGGAACTGAGTCTGTAATACAACAGCCTGAACAAGTACTCCAAGAAGAAAAACAAAACAATGAAAGTGGGCTGCATATTGGGAAGACAACAAAGCCTTATTTCCACACTCCTTGCTTATTTTCTCTTCTGCTGGTGTCCCAGTTGAGTTTTTGTCTTTCTTCTACTGCATGTTTTCCCTACTTTAAGGCCAACTGAGCAACTTTTCTTTGTAGGGATTTGAGGAACTCAAAGCAAGACAATGAAAGCTTTCCTGAGAGCTAAAGCCAAGCCATGCCAAGTGAGCAGTCCTTACTATTTATACTGATTAGGAGTCTGAGCCTCTCACTACTGTATGGTAAGTTATATCAAGAGCCTTGAGTCAGATAGAGATGCTTGGGAAAAACAAGAAGAAGGGAGTCACCTCTGACTGCCTGAAGCTCTCAATCAGGTCTCACATGAAGCCTTTCTCGATGCTCTGCCTGAGAGCACAGACAACAGAGCCGAAAGCAAGCAAACACAGCCAAGAAACTCCAGCCTCAAGGAAAACCAGAGCCTACCTCCCTCTGGTCCTCTTTTCATATCCTAAACAAACTGCAAGAGTGACCAAAATACATCCAGAGCTGCCTAATGCAGCATTTTCTTCTTTTTCTATGCCCCTATAGCCATTTGGCCCTAGCTAGTCTCAGTATCTAAGCTCAGTGATACAAATCCCTTAGTGAGCCTGTCCATCACTCTCTACTACTTAATCCTCCTCTGCCTCAAGAGACTGAGGATGGGACTTGCAGTTTTAATTTTCTCCAAACAGGTTTTCTGTGTGTAAGACACTATAATGCATTTCCCAGCCAGCTTTATAAAAATCCTGTACTGTCCAGGTAACTCTAAGGAACAAAGCAAACTGTTTGGAGAACAGATAGTAGGACCACTTATGTTGTCTTGTACCACTGTTGACCTTTGTGTTCAAGCCATAGTAAGGATTCTCAACCAAATCAGCTCTCTAGGCAATGATTTGCTCTACCTGTGCTTCTCTGCTGGTTAAAGATTCCATGGTTTTTGTTTTTTGGAACCAAAGCAGAAGGCCACCAACCTCTGTGCTTTTTTTCACACGTGTCACGTGTGGGAAATGGATTTGTAATTCAAACATAATTCTCCTTCCCTCAAATCTCTCACTTCTTCACTTCAGCTGGACTGCTCTTCCTCTCATGCCTACTTTCTGAAGGGAACATGACCCAGAATTGGGAAATAAGCACTGGGACTGGATCTACAGAGCACAGGTGCTTTCTTTGCGCAGTTATCTGTAAGCACCACTTGGCTAAAAGGAATTAGAACATTAGTTTACAGGGAATGAGGTTTCCCCTCTTTCTGTGCAGCCTCACAAACCAGGCTGCATTATATGGCAGTTCACAGACCAATTAATGCAATTTAGGATCTTTTTTAGATTAAGAACTTGCTGAGATGGGAGCAAATGGCTGAAGGGAAGAGGCTGGATGACATACTCTGCTGAGCTGTATGTGAAGAGTGATGTGAAACTGTTTGAACTCGCTAGTCAGCAGAACAAGACAGAGAAGGCTCTTGCACTCATATCAGAAAAATAATGTGAATTGTCTACATTTTTGTGAGGGCTTAACAGAAAAAGGAGAAATTAAAAGAAAAACAAAAAAAGATAAACATTTAATAAAGGTATAATAAAGTGTAGAGCAATTTCCTCCAACGCATCCTCCACGCAAATGAGGCACAGCAGGAAGCAAGGCCAGTGGAGGAAGCAGTGCTTTTTACAGAGCATTTACCTGTTGAAGTTATCTTTTTAAAATGATAAATAAGAATAAGGGTGACTAAATCCTGATAGTTTCAGCCCAAATTTGGATTCTGCTGTTCTAAGTACTACATAAACATACAGGAAATCAAACTTGCCCTCAAATATCTGCAGTCTGAAGACAATAAGCTAGAGAAGGAAGGAAATGTTTAACACATACAGATAACATACAGATAACACATAACAAGTGTTAGTTACATGGTAGCTTGCATCACTGAAGGGAGAAAGCCAGGCAAGTCAACTTACTTAAAGTTAGGAGGATAATAAAGAAGGACATTGTGGAAAATGGGGGAAAGGGCTAGATAGGAGGTGCCTTGTTGATGGGCTTGATTTCCTGGTTTAGAAATCACCCTGAGCCAAGCAGGCACAGAGGTCTGCCTTGTGCAGTCTGCTGGCTGCAACCATGTACCCCTGTGCAACGTGGGACTCTGCAGAGGAATCTCCCAAAAAGTGCAGCACTGCTCCCTTCCCAAGCATGCACAGCCAGTGCTCCTCAGGATCTACACACTGCACAGGCCTGATCATCCAGAGACTGCATCACTTAGTAGAATATCTGTCTCACGACTGTCTCTGAGAGAAGGAGACCCAGGCACTGACCCAGGCTGCCAAAGCACTGCTCTGTAGAAACATTTTCTCCCCTTACCATTTACTGTTATTCACATTTTCCAGTGAAATTTCTCAGGAGCCAAGAAATCCCAAGTGGCATCTTAAGGCTATCAGGATGAGTATACTCCATAATACAAGGGAATATCCATGGAGACCTTTCTGTCTTTCTCCCTGCCTGCACAACTATTCTCCTTTTTAATGAAAACAAGGACTTCAAGAGAGAGAAGGGGAAATGGTGCACAAACAAGCCTATCCCAACATTCAGTCATTTGGGGGCCATGCTGCAGGTCCAAGTCCCACAGTTTATCTGAGAAAGCGGTATCCCAGCAATGCACAAGGTTTAAATGCATGTATACACTCTTTTTAGGATTTCAGAACTTTGCTGGTGCATCAAGCTTAAAAAAAATGTTTGAATTCCTCAATCTAAATGCTTATTAAATTTCTTTGGGTTCATATATGAAGTGGATAATTCTGTATTTCTACTTTCTCTCAGAATGATAAGCAAATGAGTATCTATGCTGTTAACTGCCCTTATTGATTTTATGATTCACAGTGTAATCAATTTGCCTGTCTCTCCCCAGTCTTCTGCCTCAGGGCAAGGAGAGCTGTACTAATGGTATGGGGCAGTGGGGCTGTCTATGTTTCCTGCTGTTAGAAATACTGCTGATCTGTGAACACATACTTTTTTTTTTTTTTTTGGCCTCCTTCCTCTCTAATGGCACATTCACCTTAGGAGGTCAGCAAGTAGGTAAGTCCCAGATTCCCATAACAATTAGTATTCTACTCATGTCTGCACCCAGCAAACTAATTGAGCCCACTCACAGCTTACCAAGATTGTCAATTTGCATCCCTTACCACCATTACTAAGGCTTTATCTTTTACTCTTCGGTCATATCAGCACTGTGTCTATGTTGATATTCCTATATTTGTGGATCATATCAGCTTGTGACTCACTGGCTAACTCTTTGTTAACACAAATATGTGGTTTAGGAGAGATTTGCTTCAGTTGAACCAGTGTCCACTTTTTCTTTCTGCCTGAAGCTCACTATCCTCCAGTCCAACCTATACTCTTCGCATTCCACTAGCAAGTAATGCAACCCGTGGGTGTTTTTTCATCCTTCTTTCAAATGCTGCATTGTCTTGGCTAACAATGTTTGCCAAAGTCTCTAAATCAGCATATTTTGAGTTCTGGCATGTCTTTCTGCACTTCTTCTAATTTTTAGATTTTCTTTTCAAGTACCTCCACAGTACTGGACAGTTGCTCAACCTTCTTAAATTTTCTAAACCAGCCTGGGGGGGGGGTTCCCTCTACCTTGCAAATTATAATTGATCAATATAATTGGTCAGTTTTCTGTTGTCTAGTAAATAATGTTCTCTGACTCCACTCAGTGCATGGCAATTCATCATGGACCATGTTAACTCCCTTGATGGAAAAAGCTGGTGTCTCAGTTTGCATTTTCAGTTTGTATTCACATACTAAAAACAGAACAAGAGAATGCACTCTTCACCTCTTCTCTTTACTTGGTCACAACTCAAAAGTCTGAGACATATCAACTGATTCAGAATGGGAGGAAAGAAAAAGTCTTATGACTGTCTTCATCTTTTGCTGGTACCCACTGTCTGCATAAAAGGTTTTTTCAGTTGGCCTCTGCTTTTGCAGAGCCACGTCAGCTGCGGTGCCATTTTTAGCTGTGACATTTTCCCCACTCCGAATATTTTCTTAGTCCATTATACCCCGTGTACCATCTGCCATACAACAGTCGCACAGTGCCAAGAAGCCTGGTCACAGTTTGCTTTATTCAGTGGACGAGCCCTAATTGCTTAGCCTGGCACGATATGAGCTAGCTCCACACAGCACAGCACCCCATTCCAACTGCTCATGCCACGGCTTCTCCGGGGTACAACAATCCAGCCCAGCCCCGCAGACAGCTGTGACCACCGATTCGTTCCGACACGGAGCGGCCGTGCTTCCATCCACCTGCTGTGAGGACAGGAGGGAGCAGCCGTGCTGCAGGCCTCCAGATGCCCTTTGTTCCCAGTGTCACGCTGAGAACACGGCAGACAGGGACACTGTGAGACTGGGAGCCGAGGAGGGCACTGCACATCCCGGATGCAAATTGTCTGAGTGATTCTGCTGTCCTGCCTGGTGCTAAAGAGTGCTGGAGGGGTGGGGAACAGGAAGGCTGGGGTTGTAGTGTTGTCTCTGGCTTTGTATTGGATGAAGCCTCAGTATGTGAGCCAGGATCATCTAACCTGTTGAACAAAGGGCAGATGCCAGTTTTGGTATCTCCCTTGCAGGCTGTACAGTTGTTGGCTCTGAAAACCTTGGTGCCAGCATTGTAGAGGGCAAACATTCAGTCTCATCTTTCTCCCCTGTGAGCTGGCCACAGCTCCTCGAATCCACAGGCAGTGACACAGACCAACCTGCCAAGAGAAACACCACAGGGTAACACTCAAAACTCTTGCTCCACCTCTGTTTCAGTGTGTAGTGAAAAAATATGCCAAGGCTGAACGCAATCCTGATGTAACTAGGGAAAGCTCACAGTCCCACAACAGTGACACCCTGTGTTAACCAAGGAGGGAAGACTTCTTGTCCTGCCCAAATACACCAGTACACTCTGAGCTGCTGCTCTCTCTGGGTCTGCTGCTCTCTCAACCTGTATTCAGACAAAGGAATGTTTGATAAGACAAGGACACATTTTCTTTTCAATCACTGGGTATTTAGAGAAGAAGAGGTAGGCCAGGTGATACTTCTATATGGTAGAAATCAGAACAAGTTTGGTAGAAAGAGAAGGAAGAAGAATATAATACACCAGGAGCCCAGTACCACAGTATTAATATTCACTTGTTAACCCCTACTGTAGTTCCCAGTCAAAGTAACCTTTCCTTGAAATGTCTCAAGGCCCAGATCTGTGGTATGGTGTGGTCCCTCCATCAAAGTCAGTAGAAACTCACTTTACTGCACAACGCAGTATTTTGTAAGATCAGGCCCTTGATAACAAGTAAGATAGCTCTAAGCAAGAGAGCCCACCAGATGCATTTGTAGACAGGCATAGTGCCTGTCCTCTCTCAGTCCTGGAGAGGGGTCAGGAAAGAACTGTGCCTGAAGAGGTTGCCTGTGGGAAGCAGGTCCTTTGTGGCACTCCTTCTGGGCTGAACATACCTGCTAGTGTCACTCACTGCTGCCTTGGGAAGGAGGAAAAAGCAGCTCTCACTCTGTTTCTGCCTATCATCCAGCTACTGGGGAGGAGCCATTTGGATACAGCCTCTGCACTTCACTTGCTGATAGGTTTCATTCATAGAAGCCTTCCCATGAAGTCACTTATTTTGGGGTTGGCAGATCCCACTCACTTGTACAAAAGGCAAGGAGAAGCCAGCTCTAAATAAAGAGAAGGGAAGATGTAAGAAAGTCAAGGAGAGGAGCTATGTTCTTACAAATCAGTTTCTGCACTGGCAGCTAATTAGCATTTACACTACTTCAAATATTTAATATCCAAAAGAATTACTGTTCTTGAAATGAAGAATTGAAGAAGAATTACTGTTCATAAAATGCAGTTGAGGCAATTTTACATGTAGCTTATTAGCAGTAATGGATTATACTGAACACACCATGCTTAAAGTGAGATATAAAGCCAGCAATATGTAAATGTAATTTTATTCTATTCTTCTTCTTTCCCTTGAAATGAGAAGGGCTTGCCAGAGACAAAATGGGGATTACTAAAGTAGGAGAAACTGTAAAATGGCAGACTAAACTGCAGCTGACTTCACACAGTAATTAATGAGATACTGCTTCTCTGGTCATGTGCATCCTATGCATCTCTGCTTGAATGGCTGCTCAACTGGAGAGTAGCTCATCTGTAAAACAAAAGAAGTGGGGAAAACGGGAGCAGTTAATATAAACAGAGATTTGTCTAATATTTTTGTGGAATTAAAGAAATATTGTATTAAGGCACAGCCTTTTGAAATTTGTATAAAGCACTGCAGTTTCTAAGGTATCAATACAGTGAGACACAAATGAAAAAAAAACAAACAGCAAGTTGTCAATGCCACAAAATTTTTGCTTCATGGCTAGAAACAATTAGAATCCCAGCTGCCATTAACAATAATAGTATTTCACCATACCCTCCCTCGCATTGTGCTAAGAACATTCCCTCTAAATAACAAGCATCTCTGAGATGTAACTATATTTTCTTTGGAAAAAAAAAACCGTTTCCCTTTCTTTGATATCCAAGTGCTATTTAAATACACAAAAAAGAGGACTTGACTGAATGTAAGAAAACACTCTTAGTTGTCTGGTCTATAGTTAATCATTTCCAACTCTTCCTACCACCATGTTAAAGATTTAGATAATTCCGTGCTGGGACTTAAGGACGGTAGCACTGGTTAGTGGCTAGTGCCACCTTGTGAACAAAATCCTGAACATCCTTTCTTCACCATTTTACCAAACTACTTATGCAGCAAAGAAGAATAAAAAAAATAAAACCCAACTTTTACACAAGTAAGTAATTTCATGATAAGAAGTTTATCCCATATTTAGGGATAAAACATGAGACTAAAACTCCAACCAGGCCAGACAAGAGCTTGACAAAAGAGAGACAGTCTAGAAAGAAGATAAATATTTTACACATAGGTGATGGTAAAAGAAGCTATTCCTTTTTCACTGCATTTCAAACAACACAAACACAGGGATAACCAGCCCTCCAACTTCCTTACGGATGCCAGAAGAGTGGGATTTGCAGTGTCCCAACCAGGGACAGATAGGAAAGACAGGAGAGATCAGGTGAAGAGCAACACTGACACTTTTGTAACATACTAACACAACGTCTGTGCCTGGCACTATTCAATTGTAATTGAAACTGTGCCACTAAAACTAAAACTGTGTTAATTAAGGCACTTTAATACATTTTTCTCTTCCTCGCCCACCTCTCCTACACCACCACTCCATCCCACGGACTTTGACTACCTACTTCATCAGTTTTTTTTTATCAGGTGTGTCTATATCAGTGGTTCCTCTTTTCCCAACATCAAGGCCCAGCAAGGAGGGGGATGCATTAGATCTCCCATCCTGAAGTGCAAGCCTCTTTGCCATCCCAGAGGTATAATCTCAAGGAAGTCACATGAATTTTCCCCTCAGCTTTGACAGAAGGAGATGTTTACCATACCCATTTCTAATTTGGGAAAGTACTTCCAGTTTTCTCCTTTTACCCAATCCTTTGCTTTTCAAGGTTGCATTGTGGTTAACTCTTCCATCTCCTACACTTTAAAGACTTGATGTTTATAGCAGCAGGAAAATATTAATTAGAACTCACACCAAATGTACCTCCTGGTTTCTTATGAACCATTTCTTGTGGGCAGACTTCAATTTACCAGGTGTCTTTTGGAAAGACAACACAGCAGATAGGAAGCAGTGCAGAAGGTACATGGAGTGTGTGGAAGGTAACTTCTGGACACTGGGAGCCAGCTAGGGAAGGCACTGGACCTGTTTGTGAACAGAGAAGGAGGGATGGGTGATATGATGGTTGGAGTCCATCTTAGGTATAGTGATCACAAAAAAAAAAAAAAAAAAAAGAAAAAAAAAGAAAATAAAAAGTTTTCTATTGTCAGAGAAGGATGGGGATCAGCAGAATGACTGACTTGGATTTCCAGAGGGCAGACTGTGGCCTTTTTAGGAGTCTGTTGATATAGTCCCTTGGGAAGCAGTCATGAAGGGCAAAGGAGTCCAGGAAGGCTGGACATGCTTCAAGAAGGAAATTGTAAAATTGCAGGTGCAGACTATCCCTCATGCCTTAAGAAAAGCTGGAGTAGAAGAAGAGAAGCCTGGATGAACAGAGAGCTTTGCCTGGATCGCAAGGGGAAAAAAGAGGAGAGTTTATGAGTTTATGAGCTCTGGAAGAAGGGGCAAGCTTCTCAGACAGACTACAAGGATATCTTGAAGTTATACAGGAAGAAAATCAGAAGGGTCAAAGCCCAACGAGAATTTATTTTGGACACTACTGTAAAAGACAATCAAAATGCTCCTATAAACACATTAGCAACAAAAGGAGAGCTAAAGAGAATCTCCATTCTTTACAGGATGCAGGAGGAAACATAGTGACAAAGAATAAGGAAAAGGCTGACATACTTAATTCTGCCTTTGCTTCAGTCTTTAACATTAAGTTGGTCTCCAGGTACCCACTGAAGTGGAAGTCAGAGGCAGGGAGAAGAATGAAGATCTCATAATGCATGGGCAAAGTGTCTGTGACCCACTACACCTGTGGAGCCAACAGGACTAGGCATGTGATCATCCCCCTGTACTTGGCACTGGTGAGGCCACATCTTAAAACCTGTGCTAGTTTTGGGCCCCTGAGAAAGACACTGAAGTGCTGGAGCGTGTCCAAAGAAGGGCAGCAAAGCTGGTGGAGGGTCTGGAGCACAAGTTTTATGAGAAGCAGCTGGGGAAGCTGGGGGTATATAGCCTGGAGAAAAGGAGGTTCAGGGGACACCTTATCACTCTCTACCACTACCGGAAAGGAGATTATAGGCAAGTGGGGATCAGTCCCTTCTCCCAAGTAAAAAGTGACAGCACAAGAGGAATTGGCCTCAAGTTGCACCAGTGGATGTTTGGATATGTGGAAAAAATGTCTTCACCAGAAGGGTTGTCAAGCACTACAGCAGGCTGTTACGGAAAATAGCGGATTCACCACGCCTAGCAGTATTTTGGAAACTTGTAGAAATGGCACTTAAGTATGTGGTTTAGTGGTGGGCTTGGCAGAGCTGGGTTAACAGTTGGACTGAATGATCTTAAGAGATTTTTTCAACCTAAAAAAATTTATGATTCTTCAACTTTTCACTCCAATATCTTTCCCTTTTCCCTACAAGGCAGAATGTGAGAGTAAAGGCTTGAAGTCACCCAGGGAACCAACAGCAGGGCTAGGAATGGTACTCATCATTCAAATTGCAGTGAGAAATCATTCAGGAACCAAGTTTTCGGTCATCAGAGCCAGTATCTCTCATTAATGCAGGATCTGCTCTGTGCCAAGATGGCTTGCTAGTTAGATACTGAACCAAGATATAGGAGATAATTTCTTCAGTTCCATTTTCACACTAACTTAAATTTGAAGTAGGGAAAATATTAATCTCTGTGTCTTACTACAAGGGGGATGTCTTTTCTTCCTCTTCTTACCCATCTTGCATAACTGAATGGTTACAATCTTTAGGACAGGGATTGTCTCTTACTATCGGAGTCCACAGCACCTAGAAAAATGCCGTCCCAATCAAGGGTTCCCAGACATCACCACAACAAGCATGTAGTGAACATTTTTTAAGGTGTTCGTTCAATAGAATCCTTGTTGAAAGATGGCAGGTGTTAAACTTGGCATTTGGGCTCCATTCACCCTGGTTTCTTAGACTCTCCTTTTGTACTTTACAATCTACAATTCCAGTAATTTATATTTCTTTCCATGTCCTGTAATATTTAAGACAGGCACCATAAAAATCAATAGCAATATAAAATTAGCTGTAGTTAGGACATATGATATGAAAGGCTCCAGGAATTGTCAAATCAAACCACAAAGGAAAAATTCTCATACTTTGCTTATATTTATGCCTCATACTTTACTCATATTTATGAATGTAATCAGCAGTAACATATTCACAACTCACTACAAGGCTACATGAAACAGAAACCATATCATCACAGTAACAGAGAGTTACACTACTGCTACCTATGCTGCAAAACCATTTGAGTGCCACATGAGCAAAGTCTGGCATTGCACATCTTTATTTAAATATGACTAATGCCACTGTTGGAGCTACAGCTTTAGATGCATGTTGTTTGAACATGCCAGGCATATTCAAGTTCCTCTCTTGAAATTTTTGAAAAATGCTTTTTAAATTAATTTTTATTTTTAAATACAAGGATATTAATTTTTGGTTTTTGTTGTTTTTTTGTTTTGTTTTGTTTTTTTTTCCACAGTACGGCATAGTGCTGTCTGGCACTGAATTTCCTGCCAAACAATAGGCTGACCTGACACATGAACAAACTATGTTGCTGCTAGCATTAACAAAACAGTCTTGTTCCTTTGTCAGTTCATTCACAGGTAACCCTTTTTTTTTATTAATATATCTTAAGATCTGTTCCAACTGCAAAATAATTTTATTACACTGATCTACTATTGGTGATTGAATCAGGCAAAGATCTCCCATAAAGAAGTCTGTGAAAATGAAGTACAAACTGTGCATTATGAAATTGAGGTAAAAGCTCTCAGTTAGTTGCTAAGTGTACCCTCTCTTCAGTGGGCTTTTGAGAACACCACTGCCCTACTTTAGGAGGTGAATGTGGTTAATGCTGTAGGGTCTGTTTGTGGTATTTTCTCTTTCTTTAAGGTTTAGGGGTTTTGGAACTTGGAAAGGAACCCTTATGCCTAGGGGCAGGTTAGTATTTTGTATAGAGGAAAATCTGTAAGAGGAAGATTTTTCACTATTTCTAACATACATTCTTGCCTCTGTATTAGCTTGATTGTTTCAGTTTACTTTGAGGTGGGTTCTTGTCTCTTTTGAGTTTCATTTCTAATAGGCTTTTTCTTGGCCATTGTTTCCCAGCCAAGTACAGGTCAAGACTACACAGATGACTGCTGATCCTTAATTTATTAGCTGCTTTCAAAAGCAAAACCAAAACCTGAAACTGTTACTGGAAGCTGATCCAAAGCCAGCAAAAGTCCTTAGTGGTATACACTGTACGGAGCAAAGAGGGAATCCTGCTGTATCAGGTATCAAGCCCAAACATCTGCACATTCAACTTTCAGTGACTCAAATTCATCTGGTCAAGAGGTCACAAATGTGATGTTCCCTTAGGCCTAAAGGACTCACCAAACACCCTCAAATTCTAAACATGAGATCTGTGATTAGAGACTTCACCCAGATCGTCACAGCCAAGTTTATGAAGTTGTACAGAATTTCAGAACTATCTTTCTGAAGACAATGGTTTTAGGGCTTCTTCAAACTAGTTTCATGTTCCTGTGAAATTCAGTTTGCAAATAAAACAAATAGAACAGAACATGTCTTAGTTTTGTAATGAAAACAAGCCTCCTTTCCTCTCTCCTTATCTTCTTCCATCCTCTTTTGAACACTGGTTTTAGCAAAATAGCAGTAGGTCTGTTACATTTTAATGAAAAAGGCTTTTATTAGATGATAATTCCAATAAAGTGTCTTATTTCACACAGAAGTTTGAAGCCAAAGTTGAGGAAAAAAATCCCAAAAAAGCATATGAATATCCTTAAATTTCAGATGCACAACAATTCCATATGTTTAAAGATATCATTATCCCACTGAACAGCAGCTTCTCTGCTATACCAAGTTTACAAAAGCAATCCAAGGATCCAGAGAAATGGGCTGTGGAAAAATACTGAGTGGAGCCTAGACAGTAAGCAAGCTTATCTATTAGTAATTTCCCTACTTTCTGACTTTTCCCTGTAGCTACTCTCATTTATTTCCATTCTAACTTCTCTGGATGCATCAGAAACAAGAGCTGCAGTTGATTGGTGCCATCTAACTTAAGACAGCACAGCACCTCAAAGTGGGAACTGTGAAAAAGCACTGAAGTGACAGTGAAGTACAAAGCTTCTTACAAGTCAGAGGAGGAAAATAGCTGGATTTGTATTTTCAGTCACACAGCTGCGTTTTTAAATATTTCGCATCATATATTTTTCAAGCATGCAAGTTACGCCTGTGTCCTTGGCAAGGATTTTCAAAAGCAATCTAATTTTCCAAGGATGAGATCTAAAATTTGCTGGGAAGGAGGGTAAATGGTGATAAACAGAATCATATAAGTAGAAATACACAAAATCACTATTAATTTGGAAGAATCGCGTAGTCTTTTTCTTGTGTCCTTGTCTTCCTTGATTTCACAGCACCCTGCTGCAAACACAATGAACAGTGCACATCAGCCCAGGAAGTGGGAATGAAAAAGGTTCCCTAATGCAACATCTTACCTGGCTAATAGCTTCTATCTTTGCAAGCAATGCCTCTGTGTGCCTCCCCACAGTGCTGGCTCACCATCTGCCTTTGCTCTAATAAATGAATTCACATTATAAACACAGAGCACAAACATACTCATATTCTGAGCCTACTGCCCCCAAGGGTCAGATGTTTTTGCAGTATGTATAACTAGCAAATGTTTGCTCCCAAATGTTTGAAATGGCTCACAATCTTTCCTAATAACAATCATAACCAGTGAAAAAATCATCACAGCTATATTATGATACGGTAAAACTCTTTAAAAAATACTTATCTATTTTCACTAATTGTATCTCAGCAATATCTTTCCAATATACAATTCTGCTTCCCACAGAGTCTTGCATGTATTACTAATATCACACACAATCAGATGCCACCTTCCTGCCTCCCTGGAACATCAGTCTCATTTTGGAACCTGCAGGCTTCCATTTCCAAAATTTCACATTTTAGATGAACAGCTTATTTAATTATATGTCATCCCTGATCTGTGAAATTCAGGATTTTTTTCCCCTAGAAATTAAAACACAATCTTACTATTTTTCCTTCACACACAAATGCTCAACATTGATATCCTCTCCAAATATATATACTCTTCCATAAAGCACTTCCTAATTTGTAATTTGTCTCTCTCAGTATATTCAGATGTATGAACTGTTCAACTGATCAAAAAAATTATAACAGATGAGCATATAAACGACCTTTTTTGATTTCATATACCAGTTTTCTCCTAGGAGACCAAGGTTGTATGTTTTAGAGCTGACTGCTGCTGCTTACAGCTGCTGGAGTTTCAGGTCTGACTTTTATAGCACTTGGTTTCATAGAGTGATGCACAATCAACCATAGCTCTACTATTATATTAATTACTTAAATATTCTGCCTTTGGAACCCAAGGAGTCTTCAGGTACCTGAAAGATGCACCTGAAATAGCTTTTTAGCTACCAAATGAACCACATAAAACCTGCTGTTATACTGTTACCTTAAAGTTCAAATGCTTTTGTCTCAGTAGTGCATATTTCTAAGGAAAGAAAGCTCACCCATCCATAGAGTACAGACACAATACCTGTGTGGATTTCTGTCTTGTCGTAGCTTGTTATCAGACATCAGACTACATCAACCAAATTTGACAGAAGCTGTCCTTTGACAGAAAGGACACACATCAGATAACTCAGACTTCACACTTCTATAAATTTGATGAAAACAGATGACAATCAGACCTTACCCATGTCCTCATTGCTCATTAACATCATTCCTTAATACATGCAGTTCAATTCCAGGAGGAGACATCAGAGAATCCTACACTGAAAAGTGGGATTTTAGGATTCCCTGACTTCAGGAAAAACCTTAATCCAAGTTCATACTTTATTAAACATCAGAGAATGTAAGCTCAGGGCACCAAATCATTTTTAAAAAATTGGGTTTTCTCAGTTCCATTACTCCAACAATTATTTCCTTCCATCCTAAATATTGCTCAGAACAGGGTGTTGGCATTAAGGAACTTACTACTTATGCCTGCCAAGTGGAGCAGCTAGTTCATCTTAAGGGGAACAAAAACCAGATCTTCTAAAGACAATTGAGTCATCTCAGCAGCCTCCACTGACTGCAGAAAAATCAAAGAACAATCAGGACATCTATTACAATCACAGCATAGAGGCTTGCTTGTGCAAGGTAAGCATGACTCAGTGCATATATGCTTTTTCCAAGTAATTTTAACACCATTATCCCTGATTACTACATTTCCCCAAGGACAGTTCTACACAGAATGGTTTGGGTTGGAAAGGACCTTCAAGATCATCTAATTCCAATCCCCCTGCCATGGTTGATCAGAGCCCCATCCAGCCCGGCCTTGAACACTGCCAGGGATAGAGCATCCCCAGCTTCTCTGGGCAATCTGTTCCAGGGCTTCACCATCCTCATGGTAAAGAATTTCTTCCATACATCTAACCTAAATTTTCCCCTCTTTCAGTCTGAACCAGTAACTCCTTGTCCTATCACTGCAGTTTGTTCAAGGATACAAAGCACAGGTATTGCTGGCATGTGCTGCTGGTGAGCTTACTTGAGCTTGGGAAGGCTGAAGAGCTGGGGGGAACGGATCCACTTTACTCAGCACTGCACCAATCACATGCACCCCATCAGTTACTATGTCTCACATGATGAGGCAAAGATTTCTTACAGCTGACTCAACTTCCTCAAACTTTACCACAGTTAGAAAAATTTGCCATGATTTAAAGTCCACAGAAGAAGAGTCATAGAAACTAAATTAACCTTTCTGACCGTTCATCTCAAAATAACATCTGCTTTACGAGAACTATTGCAGAAGATCTTTCTGGCAGGGGCATTCATGCATGCTACTTTATTTTGCAGGTCTGACTGGAAATGAGACTGGATGAGATGTAATAAAAAAGTTAGAAATACTGCTCTCCATTTAACATGCTGCTACAAAAAAAGTGTACACAGAAATACTGAAGCTACAGCCACACACAGAAACATGTATTATTGTTCTGGCAATAGTTCAGTGTAAAAAGGAACTAAGTGGTTGTCTTTGGCTGTCTGAATCTATTAGCTATGTTTATTGGGCTGATTCAGGTCTTCTGATTAACATTTTTGATTCTTGCCTACATCATATTTCCTTTTGAGGAATTAACAGTTCATTGCACTTGCTTTTGCATATGATGACAAGCACACAGCACCATGATAAGGCACCACACAAGGCATTCCTTCAGTCTCATTTATGTGCTGTACTCTCCAAAAGGACCAAGCCTCCAGCCCTGAAAGGCACTTGGAGTTACAGGCTGCAAACACCACTAAATACCAACAGAGCTCAGATTACATGTAGTCATTGCAAAACTGCTATGCTAAAGACGAATATGTGCTGCTGAAAGCCACCAAATAATAACTCAGATTAGGATAGTGCTGTCATCGTTATATCTCTTTTTAGCAATAATTTTTCATTTACTGTAAGTCTTACTAGATATTTATTACTAGCATGGCAGAAAGAGCTAATGGGCTGCACAGCAGGGGCCAGCAATGCATAAATCTCTGGGATAATACTCTCCATAAAAAAACAGAGATGACATGTAATAACCCTCCTCAAAGGGTCATTAGGAGAATTGTGAATTATTTAAGCATTTTTTTCTCTGAGGCCAAAGATTCGTGATCTGTTGCAAATTTATTTCTAACCATATCAACTGAATAAGACTTTGGCAGCTCCAATTTGTTACAAAAAAATTTGACTGATTAACTTTGTAACTTTAAGCTTCAGGCTGGAAAATTATTACTTCTTTCATTTCATGCACAATACACCCAGTGTTAAGATCCTGGGAAAAAAAATCATTATTATATCCTATGTCATAAACAGAGGGAAAAAGTCACCTCTGGTCCAAATCAGATGTGTATAACTGGGTCATCTAACAACACACAAGTCCAGTGGAATGACAGCTTGCGTCAAGCAATCACATACTCGTATATACAGCCAGAGATTAAATCCCTACTCTGAGTAGGGCCACCCTCAAAGTCACAGGATGCTCAAGGTGTTGGCTGATCTTATTCCAAGTATTCCCAAGAATGAAAGCTCCACAACTTCTCTGGGCCCTGCCCCAGCATCTGATCTCCCCTTTAGTATTTCACTGGAATTTTCCCTGTTGCAAATTGTGTACATTACACAGGATTAGCACAAGCCATTGCACAAGTCACCGGATACTGCTGGGCTTCCTCTGCTGCACTGCAGCTGCTCAAAATGCAGGTTAAAGACCCAGGCATGATTTTGAAACTACATCATCCAAGAACACAGAAAAGGTCCTGCAGTGCAAAGTGCCACAGGGCAAAGAGCTACAAGGAAAGGATGAAGCTCCTTCAAGCAGTTACAGCTGCAGCAGCTTTTAGTGGCAGGAGCAGCAAAGACCAACATAACTTTCCTGGGAGTGATGGAAAAGACTTAAGACCTCTGCCCAGGCAAGAAGCAGCTGACTACACTTCATATCAAAGAAAGTACTCCTGACTTGCTGATTTCAGTTTCAAACAGGAAACCAACTTGCAAAACTTCAAATATTTCTGCACATTAAATGAAGAAAATTTTAAATTAATTAGGGATAAATACAACCTGATCATCCTTCTTCAAGCATAAAATCAGATAAATTAGGATCTTACTCTGAATATAAACATTTGTTTACACATCTAAAGGCTGAGCATATTAAAAAGATACCACTATTAAAATATTAAGGCAGTTTACACTATACTGCTCACAGAGTCTGTTTCATTCCTGTATCTGAGAAAGTACACTCAGAAGTCACACAAGTACTGAAAGTAAATGAAATATTGTAACTTTAACAAGCCTCAAAAATCACAAGTGACAGGAAACACAGGATACTTGTTTAAAAATAGTTTTTAATAAAAATTTAAATTTATTTATATGCTTTACCTGATCCTCCACCAATGTTGCACAGGTTTTATTTTAGAAGCAGGAATACAGATGCTCAACAGGTTGCCTGCCTCACTAAACCATCTTAAAATTGAATTAGAAATAGCATTTATATTTTGTATCCTATGATGGAAACTAAAGGGAGGTACTGGATGCCAGCATTTTTGGTTCACCAGAAAGATGAGCACACAGCTTATGTGCTAGCTTCCATTTCAAACAACCAATGCCGTTGCTAATCAGAAAGAACTTATGTCTCACTGAAAGGCTTTTGAAATTTGCTTTGAAGAAACACTCTTGGAACATGCAAGTCTTCTTTCCTATTCACAGTTTCTCGCTGCACATATTCATTGACCACTTGCTCATATCCCTCAGCCTTGAAAAGCTGAGATAAGAACTCTGAAAGAGAATTAAAAAAAAAAAGATAAAATATTATGTTTAAGCTATTTTTAAAACACCAGACACCATTTATGTAAGCATATGTTCTTATGTGTTACAGCATGAAAATCACACAGGCCTTCAGATTTCAAGCTCTATGTGGGCAGACTGCTGAATAAAAATCAATAAAGATCTCCTTTGGAAACAGCAGCCTAAGCAAAACAGCTTTTAAAACTGGGGCTTAAGCTAGTTACTCAGTTGAATTTCCAAAAATTGCCACATCTCTTATTTTTATTAAGATTTGTCATTCTCATTGTGACTGACACCAGTGCATTTTCCCTTTGTGCAGCTGACCTTCACTAGTTGAATACATCACTTACCACATATATTTTAAAGGTAATCCAGCTGTGTAGATGCATCACTGCTCAGGAAAGAGTAACACCCAATGTTACATGAAATTGCTCAACAGAAAAACTGACAAAATGGCAAAGAGGTACCAAGACTCCACTAAGTTGAACTGAAAGTATTTTCCTTAAACAAATTTTACTCAGAGCCTATCTCCCTTAAGGAAGGCAGAGCCACCTCACAAGCAGAGTGATCTGTGCAGCAGGAAGATCTGCTCATGCTATTGACTCGTCATGTTAATTAAAAATCATCATTTTTCCTTTCTTGCACCTCAGTTCACCTACTCAGGCAGCAATTTCAGAGTAAATTTAACCTGTTCTAAACTTGTGTTACTTGATGGAAAACAAAGACATTCCATTTTCACTGCTCAGGGGGATTAGCTCGATGAAACAGTGATCATGTGGGTACAGGAAGCACCACCAGAGATGGTGTGTTGAGGAAGATGAGACCACCCACTTTGGTGGCACTCCAGGATTATATCAACCCAAGCCCACCATGCTGTAAACATTGTGTGTTCATGTGAAATGGGGGATCCTCACCAATGAAATACAAACAAACAGCACTCCATTGTGGACCTATTGAAATCTTATTGTAAGGAAGTTGCACATATTTCATAATTCAAACCTACAACCATGCATTCCTCCACAAATTTAGTATTATTTCAAACAGTAGAAGAAAGGATTTTTTTTTCCATGGAAGAAGTTCTGTGTTGCCATCTGAGGCCAGACATATTATAAATAAGTATAATTCAAATCAACCTATGCAGCAATAACTTGGTGTACCAATGTAGTACTAAAGAAATGAAAAAATAGCAAGGGTTGCAGTGCTGGAAATCATGGCAGTCATGTCTCCAGTAACAAAAGAATTCTCAAGTATTAAGCAATGTTTTATGAAAATCTGAGAAATGAACAAGATCACAGTGATTAAAAATGGGAGTAGATGTGATCTGTGAGACAGCCACAGACCAGCCCAAGGAAAAACAATTGATGACGTGAGCAATATAAAATAAATTCTCTTTTTTCTCTTTCCTTCCTCTTCCTTATCCCTGCCTCAATTCTTCTCACAAGGGAAACATGCATATTAACAAGGAACTTCTTATTCAGAAATTATTCTAAAACACAGTAAAAATGAGATTTAAAATTCCACAGATAGGTCAGTCTCTTATTTGCTCCCTTTAGCATCCCTTCTCTTTGTAAGAGCTAATTGTTTAAACAGAACTAAAATTCACTCAATAAATAACAGTTCTAAAAATGCTTCAATGAAGCTGTAGCACAGCCTGCATTATCTTAGATTTCATCATTGTCCCATGAAGAATGGGGGGAGCTCAGACAAGATTAATAGTTTTTGTGTGTCATAAGCAATTAATGTTATGGCATAAAATATGAATAACATTTACTTGGCTCCAAATCGGTCTATTCAGCAGCTGCATCTTGCTTTAGACTAAGAAAAAAGAATCCCACAGAAATAAATTCACAGCTCTTGCTACACAATGCTCTACAAGTGATGGAAGAGTATAGTGAGTTTAGCATGAGGAACTGGGAGTTAGAAGGCATAGCCAAGCTATAATCCAAATTCATTGTGAGAGTCTAAGCAAGTTCCTTCATGTCTCTGAGCTTCAAATTCTCCACCAGTAAACTGCAATAACTACCTTTTCGCCTAAACCATTATGAGCACTGAACAAAAACTAAATACTGTATCACATGGAAATTATTTTTTCCATTGTCTTCACTAAAAAACAAACCCTGGAAGACAGAGTGACCACAGCTAGTCAGTGCTATCCCAGCAGGATTTGTGCACGAGCTTCTCAGTGCTGCAGTCATGGTTCTGCTTCTAAAAGTCAATAGACCTCATCCTGCTCACCAGAAATAGCCCTGCACAAAGAATGAAGCCAAAAGAACTGCTTACTTGCTTCATGAAGATGATCAATTCTCTTACTGAACATAGGTCTTTTCCCCTTAGGTAACAAATCTGAATGAAATTCAGCAAATTCAGAAACAGCTGCTCTTGGAGAATTACAGCATATACAATAAGCTTATAAACAAGAAAGTACTCCACAAAGTTCTGCCAGTCTAACTGCTTCTTCCCAAAAAGGATGCTAAATGAAATAAACCACAATTTAACAGTTTGTCCACACCAAATAAAACTTCCATGGGCACATTGGCAGTTTTCTGGAAAAAGTTTGAACAGAAGATGCACAGAAAAGAAAGCACTCTACAACATGCCTTACCTTCAGTAAAAAAATACGATCTTGTCCCATCTTGTCTGACATAAAAGTTTTCCCCAAGTTTGCTGCCTGATTTAAACCTGAGCATTGCATGATCATATAGGCCGTAGTCTCGGAACAGGACACACTTGCCTGGTTTTAATACCTGTCACATAATACACACATGCTTAAATAATCTAAACAGATTCAGTCATATATAGGTATATTTACTTGTGTACACACACAGACATAGGTAACTAACACAAAGTAGAGTAGCACAGTAAATACAACAGTGAGATAGATATCTGTATCTATAGACAGATGTAGATAGATATAGATAAAATTCATTCCCCATGCAACAAAAAGGTTTTACAAAAACTGGATTGACTCTTAAAAATGTTTCCCCATGAATAAAAGACTACAACCACTTTTAGAATACCTATTTGGGTGCTGATCAGCTAAATTAGCAACTCTCTTCAAACACAGAGGAAAGAAGAAAATACACAGCTTAACAAAAATTCCCATCAGGGCATTTTTTTCTGTTGGCTAGTATCCTGTTTAACCTGATTTTGTTTAATGGTTAACAATAAACTTTAGAATATCATGACATTTCTTTTTTCACTGGAGAAAGAAAAATGTTGCAATATGTTGCAAAATAAATAAGAAACCACTTTAGGAAAGTGCATAATGAATTTTTAAATTGCTTTTCAGTAAAGAAAGCAAGATATAAAGAGTTTAAAATTTATAAATACATGGTCATTGCCTATGCTGATTCTAGATACCTAAATATTTATATGAATATTTATATGAGCTAAGAACCAATCCTGATATTGGAAAACAGCTGGAGATATACAAAAAACCCCCTAATATTCCCTTTTCAAACTGCTGATCATAAGCCAAATAATATCAGAAAATACAAGACCCTTGATACACTGATATGCAAAAGTAAAAAAATATGTTGTTTTCTTCTGCAGTCAATATATGACATCTCAAGAAAATTCAGAACAATAACAATTCAGGCTGTTTAACCCACCCTTTGGATGGGCCTATCCTAGTCTATCAAGTAACAAAGACAGCCTAGGGAGATGAGTCTCTCTAGATTATGTTGACTTCTGAAAACTCCACTTTTAAATCACCACGGGTCAAATATGTTTCATAATAACAGCAACATCCTAACCACAGGTCACTGGATCTCTGGAAGTTAATTTTGGCTCACTATGATTCACACCTTATGAACACAGACAGCTCTGCAATATATAAACATTATTCATAGCATACAACCCAAGTCACAGCTTTAAAATCATACAGTCATAGAGTGGCCTGGGATAGAAGGGGCCTGAAAGATCACCTGGTTCCAGCTGCCCTGCCATGGGCAGGGACAACTTCCACCAGATCAGGCTGCTCAAAGTCCCATCTCTCCTGGCCTTGAACACTTCCAAGAGTAGGGCAACCACAGCTTCTCTGGGCAACCTATACCCGCACCTCCCTAAAGAATTTCTTCCTACTATCTAATCTAAATCTACCCTCAGTTTGAATCCATTCCTCTTCCTTGCCACTACATGCTCTTTCTTGTAGAAATCTCTCTCCATCTTTCCTGTAAGCCCCTTTCAAGTGAAGGCCACATTTTAGATATCTTTTTGTTACACTGATGGCATGAATTAGGTCTCAATCCAAACAATCTCACAATACCAGGAGGAAAAAAAAGGTCATTGTAAAACATATTTTAGTCTTGCATTCTCAGTGCACTAACGAAATACACCCATGGAATATAATATGAAAAATGGCCATTGCAAGAGAGTAATTTTCTCAGGAATAAAATATACTTTTGAGCTAAAAAAGAAGGGCAGTGCTTTAAAGGCTGTAAAATCAGCTGGTTTTACCTTATAAATGTTCCTCAGGACAAGATGCATTTTGTCAGGATGAATGGCAGAAAGCACAAATATAAGTGTGACAACATCCACAGAATCTGCTGGTATATTGTCTAGAAGATCATCTTTGGTAAGATCACACTGGAACACTTTACATCTTTCAGTATTATATAAGGCATTTTTCTAGGGAAATTAAAAGAGCAAACTTTCACTGAAAATGAACAGCATTTGTTGCTACAATAAAGTAAAAATCTTGTGAAATTAATCAGTAGAGACACACAAAACACAGTGGCAAGAGAATATTAACCTCCAACAGGCAGCTACTGCAATCAGAAATTCTTTGTTGCTGACTACAATAGTGAAACTACAACTAGTAAAATAGTCTGTTCCCATTAATTTGAGAAGGAATGTGCATTAAGACAATACAGAAAACATACTATTTCTGTTTTACTCCTTCTATTCTTTAAAGAAGACATAAATACTATTGAAAGAAATTACATCCTACAGGGTGATGAAAGTAAAGCTCTTGAACTACAGGTAAACTGCAAACAGTTGGGGTTTGCACATAATCAATCTCTATCTGGGCTGCTCTAGCCCACAGTTTTGCTGTGGAAAATAAAACCCGGTCTTGGCAAAAAATAAATTCAGCAAGAGCTGTGGAGGCAGATGCCATTAAGTCATCCAAAACCCAGGGTACACGCCCAGCCTAACCTCATCTTGGGGTGCAGCCACAGCATCCCAGGGAGCTGCTGTCCTCTTCTGTTTGCCACAGGTATTTCTTCCCATCTATCGCATGACAAATGCTGCCTGTGTCATGTAGTTCTTGGTCACAATGCTTTCAGTTAACAGATATATAGACATTTACCTGTGATTACAAACTTCATAAAGACTTTTAATGCCCAAAGTCCCCACCAGAAGTACTGCAAGGCTCGACTCTGGACTGCAGTACCCACAACTAAGTGTAAACACATCTACTCCTAATCAAGTTACAAATTTCTTTAACAATAATTTTCTCAGCCTTGCTTTTAAGGTTCTCCTTGGGACTCTGCCTATTAAGGGCAAGCTTCCACGACAACCAAAATTTTGCTCTTACTGCACAGTCAGCAGAGATATAGTAGGGCTACCAAAAACCACTATCTTTATAAATCATTAAAGTAATATACCATAATGCTCTAATTTGACACTGAATAGCCAAGTCTTAAGCAATGATTTGCCTTCTAACACAGGATCTCCACTGAAATGCATCAGTCTCAATTTTTTTGGCAAAGCATATTCTACCCTTCCTACAAAGAGGAAACCAAGAGAAGCCTGTTGTTGCAGTCATTTGTAATTTTAGAAGCTTCTAAAAAACACTCTAAAAGAAGTTCCAAATATCACACCAACCTTCACATAGTCAACAGCTCTAGGAGAGAAATCACAGGCATATGCAAAAATATTCATATCTTCTTCTAAGAGTGGAAACAAACAGTTTCCAACCCCGCAGCCTGCTTCCAGAATGGTCAGTTTTTGATCTGCAAACTGGGGATGAAGCAATACAAGACAAAACATAACTTTTGTTTTCTCATCATATCAGCAGAAGCACTGTTCAACCACCATTTTAAAAGCTATAATCAACTTTAATTATGATTCTTCAAAAAAAAAAAAAAAAACCAAAGTAGACAGCCAGTGCATAATCTGACACTAAAACCCAGACATCCTGATTTCCACAAAATCAGAAATACTTTTAGAACACATTAATATTTCTTCAGTCATCTACCTCTTAAGTAATCAACAGATTTGTGCCATTTCTGTCTTGTCATTCATTCAGCTGTAAGGAACAACAGATGCATCTGGCTATTCCCCTTAACTGTGTCCAGCAATCAGCCTGCAATTCTGGATGCTTTTCTCTAAAGGAGTGTACTGAAGTGCACCAGCTTGCACACAGAGAGACAAGCTGTCTGCTTTAGGACTCAAAAACCAAATATTCCAGATTTCATTCTCAGCATCCAGGATGCTATGAACAGCAACCCCATCCAGTAAGGGCCAATTATAAACTGAAACTAAACTAATGCATATGATTCTGAGAAGTTTTTTTTTATATTAAAATATACAGGGCACTGCAAACTTTACATGTGGCAGCTCTTACCCAAATGGCTTTGTTCTAAGTATTATTAACTCCCCTGGAAACAACTGATTGGAAACAATCAATCCCATCTTTTACAGCAGAACTGTATAGATCTCACCTCACGACATGCCTTTAACTCTTGAAACTCTCTAGTTGTCCAATGTCTGTCTTTGAAGAAGTTGGTGCTGTTTCTTTTGTAAAAGAGATCCCAGTTCTTCTGTGCCTCTTTCTCCAGTTTTAGTTGTTTAAACTCAGACACCAGAACCTGATCTTTTGCCAGTTTTTCAGCTTCTTCTGGGCTAAGGACTCGAGCACTATGGCCCTTTTTTTGGAAAGCACCATCTTCAGTAGATGTTGTTACTATATTTAAGCAATTTGCTGACGCCTTTTCTTGGAACATCCTAGATTCTTTCACACAAACATGAACACCAAGGACCCAAGGATGATTTTTTTTCTTTAGTGTATGGTTCCATCACTTAAGTAAAACAAGTGAGGATCTAGAAGCAGAATTTAAAAAGAGAGATAATTACAGTATGCACTTACTACAACTTTATTGATCTGTATAGTAAAAAAGGCAACCCTGACAGGGAAGAAATGATGATGTCTGGCTCCAGATCAGAAGGCTAAAGGATAGCTTTATCAAAACTATATTATATTACATTAATATACTACTTAAAGAGAGACTATCCTATTTTACATACATACTTCTTACTTACCTATCAACTAACTAGCAAATTCGTGGCTGCCTGCTGAGCTTCGGAGACACAACTGGATCCAATTGGTCATTGAACCCAAACAACCTTCACCAGAATCCAACCAAGTAATCACTTCAGGTAAACAATCTCCATACCAAATTCCACATGGGGAAAACAAAGGAGCGGAGAGAAAGATTGTTTTCTCTTCTCTCTCTGTGCTTTTCCTGAGAGACAGAATTATGTCTCTCTGTCCAAAGAATGTGAATGCCAACAATCTGTCCTACCCGATGGACCTTGAGTATATAAAGATTTCTCTTGATTTCAGAAAATCTTCATCTAAACTAAGAACTGTATACAACATCACACTGATGTCAAAGTTAAAGAAGATACTTCAGACTCTCCTAGTCTTCCCTCTGCATTCCAGAAAGCTACCGAACAAGAAAAAGATGGTGCAACTCTATTTTCACTAAAAGAGACTTGAAAAGGAAAAAAGCAACAGCTTTGTTTCTCATTAACCTCATTAAGAACACTTCAGAAAAAAAAAAGTAACTTAAGAACAGATGACATTTAAGAGTCAATTAAAGTAAATGAAACAAAGCATATTCATATTAGCATTTCTCCTTCCTGCTCTCAGCTCTGTGAGAAAACACTGGTGAAAACAACAGCATTTTTAACACCGTGTCACCTAAAGAAGAGAACAAAACCAGTACTCTGGCCAAAAGGCCCAGAGTTGGCCAGCATTCATCCCACTGTCTCCTCCTGAGGATTCACACTGGTTTTAATAATCACAGATGGTTTTATTTTCAGAAGTTAACAAAAAGCACTTCACATAGGCTGGGAAGGGAGTCAAATATTTTCTCTGATGTTAAACTGGTTATGACACCTGCCTTGTCGTAAATAAGCAGATCCTGGATGATGGAACGTGGGAATTAAATCCTGCATGGCCGTAACTCCCAGGGAAGCCCAGGCAGCAAACACACACCACTGGTATACATCAGCCAGGCTATGGTGTCAATTTAACAAAAAAGAAATGAGATACACACCCTAAAACAAACAAATAAGCAAACAAGACAAGCACTTTAGTTGTGTATTTTATCTTATGATAAAATACATTCTATAATACATATAATGCATTGTATGCATATGTTATGTATAATACATATGCTGATATCATGATATATACATGTCATGAGACAAACATAAACATAAAATACGGAAGCGTGCAGATGAAGAAAAGAACTGTCAGAATTTCGCCCAGTGCCACAGACACACCCCCTTCTGAACTCCATGAACAGCAGAAGCGGTCATGAGGAAGAGGCTCCTTTGAAAGGACGTCTCTTCAGGAAGAGCATATCCTCAAAACAAACAAACAAAAACTTAATCAGCAACATTTCTGCCGTCTTTCTACACACGTCTCTAATGTAGGCACGCTCCGTTATTTCATCTCAGAACGAGCGAGGGAAACAAATGCAATCCAGTCCTTTCAGTGACGCCTCAGCTGCGGTGGGAAGGCAGCGCGATGATAAACTCAATCGCAACAGCCCGTGCTTAGCTTAAAGAGCCTTTTAAATGTGTTCAATCCAGAGCTAAGTCCACCAACATGTAACACCTCTGCATGATCCCCCGGTCCCCCACATGGAACCGGCTACCCTCCAGCAGCTCGTACCCCGGCAGGGAAGGAAAGGAAAGCCCCTCCTGCCCTACCGAGGGCGGGGAGCGCGGGGCTCCCACCTCCCCGGGGACCCTCCCCGGGGCAGCAGCCCCAGCCCGGCCCCGGGCCCCCGCCTCGCCCGCCGTACCCGCCGCCAGCCCCGGAGAGGGTTCCCGGAAGGGAAAGCCAAGAATTTCCGGGAGGACGCCGGGCGGCAGCGCACGGAGGAGAGGGAAGGGACGGTTCGGGCCGGGAGCGGGGCCATGAACGGCTCGGCGAACTCGTTGCTGGACAAGGAGGAACACCCGCTGCAGCTGGGCGAGAGCTTCGAGCGGCGGCCCAAGGCCTCCTTCCACACCATCCGCTGTGAGCGCCTCCCCCGCGGCCGCCTCTTCCTCCCCGCTCGCGTCCCGTCCCCCGGCTGCGCTGCTCCTCCTGCCGCGCCCCCTCCGCCGCTCTCCTCGCCTCCTCCGCTCCGCCATCGCGGGGCTCTGTCCCCTCACAGCGCCTTTCGTACCCGCTCCCCTCCTGCCCCCTCATCGCCCGTCTCCCCCCTTCCCTCCGATCCCCTCCAGCGCCCGTCTCCTCCCTTTGCCGCTCCCTCGGCCCCGGCGCTCCTCTCCACGAGTGTTTTCCCCACAGAGGGTCCAGCAGGGGAAGAAGGGGAAGGTGGATGCTGGCGGGGAGGGGGTTTGAGCGAGGCAGGCCAAGGCGAAGGAGCAGCTTTAGAAAGTTTGTCATTAATCGCTAGGAAGCATGATGAATTCCCACCGTAAGGCGGTGGCTTTGCCATCTTATTTTGATCTCTTTATGGCAATTAACTGCAGGACAGGTCGCACCGCAGGCCCGGCCCGGAGAGGCAGCCGGAGCATCCAGAATTGGGTTTTTAACTGAGTGTTTTGCTGCAATGTGTAGCCCAGTAGACCTGTCCCTGGCTGTCCTGACTCCAGCCAGCTTTTCCTATCCCAGGAAAGCAAGCAGAAGGGACTCAGACACTTACAGTAATGCCTAACAAGTGCAAGATAGATCCTGAGGTAGATTGTTTTGAAGAGGAACTCACTGTATTCCTGTAATTGAGTTCTGTGGGGTAAGAAATCTGAGCAAAACAAGTCCGGTTTTTATTACTAAAATGACTGGTAAACCATCAAGAATAAATGTAAATAATATTAAACTTATAATTTAGTAGTTTTCTATGGAAGTGGGGAATTTATACAGACAACAGTAGGATATTTTGGTTTATGGCCTGGTCTCATTGCCGATATTCATACAGCACAAATAGTAGTTTCAATGATACTGGTCACTCAAGTGCCTGATCCTCTGTGAATTAAACCCAAGCCAAATCCAGGTGAAAGTATACAGGATTTCTAGACTGGAAAGTGCTTCAATAGCAGATTTCCAATGGGATTGCAAAGCCAAAGCTCTTCAGATTACAACTGGAAGAATGCAGTTTTATTTCAGAAGATCTTTCTGAATGCTCTATTTTCCATCTGTGACTTTTAAATGAGATTTCTTCATTGTCCTGTTTTATTTTTTTCCCCTAACTGTTGTTCTGGAATGATTTATCTGGGATCCAAACATTATATTATTGCCATAATCCTCTTCATACAAACTACAATGAGAGGATTTCGTAGGCTACATTTGTTTCGACCTTCTTATTTGACCTTCGGCCCGGATTCATTCCTGTACTGAGAAATTGGATTATCCTTTAAAAACACACCTTGAAAACATTTGATTTTTGGGAAAAGAGCTGTGGGTATATTTGGAGGGAAATATGTGCTCTCGATCTACATGAGGGTTAGCCAGGCACGTGCTAACAAAATGAAAACAATTAGTTGAGTGTTTGTTTAAAATAACTCTGTATTGCTGTGCCTAAGAAAGAAGTCTGGTAGTGATATTCCTTTTAAGTTGGTGACTGTGCTGTTGAAACTCTTGATCCTGTTTTGGCAGACACTAGCTCTTGTACAGCTGGTTTCTTTTATTTAGTGAGCTTGCACATAAAGTAGGTGGGAAACAATAGCTAAAAACAGATTGCTCAGATTAAATTGAAGGCTATGGTTTGATCAGGCAGTTAAGGCATGAGGATTAAGTCAGGTGTGTCTGATTCTGCTTGTTGTGCTGTCAAAGTAAAACTCAATTAAACATTAGCATCCTCTTAATGAGAATTTATTACAAGCCAGAGTTTGAGTTTTTTCCCTGCAAGTGTGTTTTTTATACTGGAGATATATTTTAAATTTGTTCTGAGGTATTAGTTTCATAACTAATGTGGTAATTAAAAGCCTTGATAGTGAATATAATTGCACCTCTTCAGATGCAGGGATGCTAGAGTTGAATGCAGGCTTCTTATAAAAACAAACAAAGCAAACTAGCCTATATCAGTGTGATTTTATTTCAATTTGTTTAAGTCCTCTCTCAAGATATTGGAGGTTCTGATAGGGTTTTTTTCTGTTTTTTTATGGCTCACCAGCACAACAGAATAATGAGGGGAAAATATTTTCAATTTAAAATGTTCTCAGTTCAAATGAAAACATTAAACAGAAGTGCCTTGGTTGGGAGACAAAGCATTGTACAACGGAGCAAAAATACCTAAAATAAATGTTAATTTAAAGCCAGTACAATGCCTCCCCTTCCTGATGCTTTCTATCCAGAGTGGCTTTGGACCAGCATGAAACTGCTGTAGTAAGATCAGCACCTCTTTTTTTCCTCATAAGTGAGAGCTGAGATCTCCTCCACCCATGTGGAGCTTTTAGCATTGTTGTGGAGGTGAGATGGACGTTAGAGAGCCTGAACTATCAGTAAGACTAAATGAGTGGGTGTCTGTTGGGGTGGGCAGAGTTGGTAGAGTGCCATGACCTTCCCAGAGAAGTGTGTTTAAACAGACATCCTGGGTGCACAGGCACGACTCACTCTTGCCAAGTGACTTCAGCTCTCGGGTGATTTCAGCCACGAGTGATGCAGAAGGAAGGGACAGAAATCTTCGTAGGGGATTCCACAGAGGGTCTTTAGACTCTTACTGCAAAGGGGTCCAGGCACAAAGAACTCCTTCAGGCAGGGAGAGCAGGGCTTTATACAGGGATAGCGAGGGATGGGGCAGAACGTCAGAAGGAATAAGATGAGGGCACAGGGATGGAACAAAGGGGAAGGGCCAATGGGATACACAGAATTAACTTGTGGCAACAATGCATTCTGGGGGAAGCTTTTTCCTTGCCATGACCAGAGGCTGTTGCTTGAGGGTTGCCCTCCACAGGACTGTAGTTAGTCACTTTCTCCTTAGCTGGTTTACTGGCCTCCACAAGTGTCATTAAATTAGTGTTTGTCTCAGAGGAGTCTTCAGGCTTGCAATTGGCAACACTTAAGCAGAGCCCAGGGTTTTGGAAGTTGTTACTCCCTTGAGTTTGGTGCAGTTTTGCACTTGCCTCTAAAACCGAGTGCCACTCAAAGTCTGGGTTTGGAGAAGTCTGCTTTTGGTGTTCAAACATAAGATATAGAACATTATTTCCATTTTGAAAAGGAAGTTCAGAATATGGTACCACCACATGACTGGGTTGCTACGTGTAGACACAATGTACTGATGTGTTATTCCACCCCTGCTGTAAACACTATATACCATTCCCTATAATCACAGTAAATATATGGTGGCTGGTGGCTCTTTGCAGGGCACGTTGATGCTTCTGGACACTCTAACAAATGTAATCACAATTGTTTTCCTCTTTAGATGATTTTAAGCCAGCATCGATTGATACGTCTTGTGAGGGGGACCTCCAAGTGGGTAAAGGAGATGATGTTACCATCACTTTGCCACATATTCCAGTAAGTCTGTTCTCTATGTGTCCCTCTTTACTCTCCAACAAATTTGCATTGTTTACAGTCTAATGTAAATGCTATTTTCAATTTCTATATAAAGACTGTGGGTTCAATATTTAACCAGCCGGACTTGTAGTTTTTACCTTAGGAAATGACTGTACAGTTGGATCTTTGTAAAGGGTTATATTGCCAAATTGTTCTTTACTTTTGATTCCTTCCTTCCTACTCTTCCTTGAGAGACAAAGAGACTTTTACTATTAACTGAAGCTGTACACTTTGTTCCCATCCATTTTTAGTGCTATGTCTTGCTGAAGAAAGGCAATGTGATTTGGGCTTCAGTCAAAGCTGGATGTTCGGAACCCACAGGCAGATCTGTAAGCATGTTCCTGCCCTTAATCAAACATGTACAGAGAGGGCATAGAGGGTTCCCTGCCTTTAGCTTTATCAGTGGAAGCAAGAGGGCAGTCCCGGTGAGTGGCCATGAAGTAGTTTCCCATCCACTTCCTTCTCTAATGATGCCATAAAGATCTACTGTGTGAGGATGATGATAAAACAGCAATAAAACAAGTGATCAATCTATTTATAGGTGCAGCTGGTTTGTAATTGAAGGTTCAGTGGTTTCCTTACCAAAACAAAAGAAAGTGCTCATGTGCTGGAACTGCATTTGTTTATTAGCTGAAGTTAATGCTATGTGTCAAGCCAATAAACCAGAATTCACTGACATCAATGGGTCTGGTAGCTGCAGGGGGGCACAGTCAGTTTGGAAGCCATGTGTCAGATCCTTTTGGTATTGTTCTTCCCAGCATGCCCGTGTTTTTAATTGGTAAGTGATGGTGCTGTGATAATTCTCACTGAATGAAGCTGTAGTCTGCTTCACCCTGCTCCTGTTCATTATATGGCTTTGGTCACCTTCAGTGCTGCAGGAGGTCACATACTGGTTTTTGTCTATAGAAATGATGAGCATGGTAGTGCTATTGGAGAGCAGGTAACAGCACAACTAACAGTAGCAGTCATCTTGGATTAGTTGGAAATAGTGTTGCTTATTCATTTTTTTGTGTTGAGCAGCATCACTTGTAATGTTCCTTCCCAAATCTCTGTACTGAGGAGCTTAATTTGATTCTCTTCTCCTCTGTATGAACAGCCTTGAGTTCACTATATGCTCCAAAGGCTGAGGCAGCCAGACCACTCTGTCTATGTTGTTTCAAGGCTGTGCTGCCTAGAGAGCTGGAAAATACTTGGCATACTGAAAAAGAATTAAAGGTTTTGAGATTGTTTCATCCTGACAAGTTTCACTGAATTTCTTGGATGCTGCTTTGCTTCTCAGTTATCCAACAATTGGATAGGGTTCAAATTCTGAGTTGAAGTTTTCTTTTTGAAATTGCCTAATCCCTGAAAAAATATCGCTGATAATTTGTTTGGTGGAAATATTTTGGTGTCTCTTGCAGCCTGGATAAATTGAATTACTACATGTGGATTTAGTGACTTTAATATTTGAAAAACAATCTGATTGGGGAAGGGAAAATTTCTGCTTGTTAGAGTACTATAGAAGATCATAGAATATCATGAGTTGGAAGGGTCCCCAAAAGGATCATCAAAGTCCAGCTCCTAACCCTGCACAGAACAATTCCAAGGATTATATCATGTGCCTGAAAGTGTTGTCCAAGTGCTTCTTGAACTTTGTCAGGCAAAAAATCCTCACAGGTGAAAACAATTCTGTGCTGTAATCAGCAAAATCTGTAAGCCACTGTTACTTAGGCACTAACATAAACCCTAAACATTTAGTTTTAAGTAGGAGAGAGGGACTTAATTTGCTTAAGCACTTACATTCCTACTTACTGTTTAGCCAAAATCACAGCCTTTGCTGCTTTAGGAGTCTTCTGGGTAGCAGAATGGTAGCCAACAAACTTTGATCAATTTTCATTATGTTTTTGTGCGTTTTACGTTTCCTGGCTTAGTTGTCAACAGCAAGCAGGATTTGACTTTAAGCTTTCTTTTTACTCTCTTAAATGTTGCTTTCCTCTCTTAAACGTAGGAATGATAAAAATGTAACATGCCTTTGAAGACTAGACTTTCTTGAGACATTCTTTCTGAATCGTATTTCTGAATCTCTCATACTGTGTCTTTGTTAGGAGCTCAGATTTTTCACACTTACTGTTCAGAACCCATTTTAAATTCAAATTAGCATGGAGAATTCAAGTTAGCAACATGGAGAATAGGAATTGCTTTCAGAGTAGTTAAATTGTGATTGTTCATTTTTGCTACTCAGAATTATATACAGGAGAGTGCAGGGTTTTTTCATTTGCTCCCTGATGTCAGTTGCTTTCCTACAGTATGTGCAAAGGCGCATATGAATAAATATTTATTTTTTTAAATGAATTCTTTCATACATTATCTACACATTACAGAGAAGCCTGAGAAGGTTTCATAGGTGAGAACATAACCCCTTGAGTAACAGCTTTTTGACGTGGCCAGGTGTGTATCCATGCTATTACGTGCAGATAGACCATGGATTCAGCTGGCTGTAACATCAAAACCAGGTGTATGAGCCAGGCTGTGCATGCATGCAGTACAGCTGAGCATAATCTCAGCATTATCAGTTAGCCAGTGTGCACCACCACATGAGATGTTTAGGTTTTTTTGCTTCTCAGTCTAAGCCTTTAGATTTTTAAGGCTCTGTGTAGCACTGTGTGGACTTGGGGACTTTCTGGAAGGCATCAAAATACCCCATTTGCCTTTGAGAAGACATTTCAGTATAATTTCATGGGCATATGCATGCTAGTCTGACTTTGAAAAAGGCAGCTGCTCATACATAGTTTGTAAGTGACAGTTGATTGTAATCCACTGTGAAAATACTGCCATATATATTTATGTAAAATATGTGGTGCAGTTTAAATTATTTTTCAATTGACCACATATTACCTTGGGCAATAGTTCTGCTACACAAATAATTAGAACTTTATTTCTTATCCAAACACATGATTTCCAGGGCAGAAACATCAAGAAGATTTCTGATACTTGTCAGGGACAGCTATGCAAATTTAGTTATGCTGCCATTTTAGGAATGAGAACTGTAAATAAAAGCAGCCACAGCGAAGATGTTTTGTCACTACAGAGACACTTAAAATGATGAAAGGCATAATATTGCTGTGAGGAAATGTCTCATTTACTGCACATTTTCTCTGTATTTCTTTCTTCATGAATGAATATTTTCTGTAGGAACTAAACATTAAGTGCTTAGCCTCTTTTTCAGAACAACACATATATTCTTTCCTCTTAGTATTCATAAATTTTTGGACAGAGTAATTTAATCAAACAAATATATGCTTTTTCTTTGTACCAGGGTTCAACTCCACCAATGACTGTCTTTAAAGGAAATAAAAGGCCATATCAGAAGGATTGTGTGCTTATTATCAATCATGACACTGGGGAATATGTACTGGAAAAACTTAGTAGCAGCATTCAAGTCAAGAAAACAAGGTAAAGGTGGGGACAGGGTTCTTGATAGGATTAATTATTGCTGAAATTTCTTATTAAGACTGGGTTTTGAAATAGAACTCTTGTATTTTGTAGTGATGTTTTATTACTAAGCCTTAGCTTTACATGGCCAATTATCATGCCTAAAAATGCAAATAGGAGTATGAATCCAAGAGTAAAGAATTTGTAAATTCTCCACAGCTGAAATGACATTATTATAGTTTGCAGTGAAATACCTGTGATGATTTGAGGCTTTAGATGCTGGCTGAAGGATGGGATGTGTTTCAAGAATCTCTAGTTAGCAAAAAAAAACCCCCATGTTAGACTGTCAGGATTATTGGACTTTCTAGGTTTGTTCCCTGCAGCTTCCTGTGGGAGTCATGATGTTTCAATAACATAATCCTAGGGAACAAGAAACACTCATTCCCATACTGGATAAGCAATATATGAAGTGGAACACAAGTACAAAGCCTCCAGCTGGTGAAGGTGGGCAGGGCTGTAAAAATAATGGTTATGGTGTTTTACCTAGAAGAATTGATGAAGCCAGAAATCCTTTCTGACCCAGTGCTCTGCTGCACAAATGGTACAAAGTATGCAGCTGGATAGTTTTTAGCAGTCCTACTGCTCTACAGGTACCTGAAGTGTCTGGATCTTTTCAGGATCACTGAATCACAGGTTGAGACCTAAAGAGAATGTAGTCATTGAAATGTCTTGTGAAGAAGAAACTCTTAAATAAGTTTAGAAGTTTTACATTAAAAAAACACTTTGTTGCAGTATAGAACCCTTAGCTGCTAAAACTACTAGAAAAGTGTGTTGCAGCTCATCAGTAGTTGGCTGGGTGTTTGCCAAGGAACACCTTGAGTTCAAGGTAAATCGACTGTAGTCCTCCTCTGAGTCAGTGATGTGAAAATTCATCCATGTAGCATTCATCTTGTCCAGTGGATATGAGCACATCAGATGAGATTTGAATTCCCAATTTCAGTACTGCTGGACTTTGCCCAGGTGAAGCTTAAGTCAGAAGGGAACAAAGTAAGTGCAGGAGGGCCTGAGTTCTGTGAGATGTTTGGTTTCCCTGAGTTCTGAGTCTGGTGTGGGGAAAAATACTTCAATTTTTCTTGGGCAGAGGGAGGGTAGTAAAAAGTTTGAGGACCCCTGTTTTGATGAATAGTGCTTTGCAAAGTCATTGATTTTCTATATCAGAAGTGCCTTATATTTGACATGGCTGCTCTGATCTTTAATGACCTGAGATACTCTGTGGGAACAGGGCTTTTAGTGTTAATGCCTTGATGACATTCACGAGGGAGTAAGTAAATTTATTCCATATAAAACCATCTGTAGTTCCAAGAGCATAATTAATACTAGAAATCTTTGACTTTTACTTTCCACTTGATACAGTGAGTATCTTGCCAACTCTGCACTTCTGCTGTAGATAGACTGTAAGCTGCATTAATGTGGTATCCAACAGGTGCATGTCACTGATGAATGAAGAGGGGGTTCTGTGTGAGGCTGAATCTAGAGTTCACCAAGGCACAGAGATTGCCCAGTAAATGCTCCATGTATCAGCTCTGGTACTACAGGTGGTTTAGGTGAATTCCCAGGAAGTTCAACATGAGCTAGTTTAACTTATCTTGTGGTGGGATTGGTTTCCAGACACAAAGTGTAACACTGCTGAGCTGGAACCCTCCTAGAACAGAAACTGAGCTCTAATATCCACAAGCTGCTTCTGTGCTGCACTGCACAAAGCCATAACCCCAAAGGCTTTGCTGCTATGCAATAAATACACCACACCCTTTAACCTTATTATGGTGTACTGTAAAGGAACTGACTTTGGGTTTGTGGTTGTTTTTTTGGGTTTCTTTTTCTTCCAAGGGTATTGTTCTGCAATCTCAGTTACATCATGAGTTCAGTAAAAGGCAGAAAAACCTGGTTTGAACTGAACAGGTTGGCATAGTGTTATTCTAGAGACTATTTTCCACTAAGGAAACAGCTTAAACTGTTTTGAAGGGCTAACAGCAAATGGATAAAACCCATGAATTAAATGCTTGTAGGCTGTATTTAGCAGTAAGAATGATTATTCTAGCAAAGTTGACCTCTAAGAGAGTTCAGTTTGAGATGATTTAATTGCAAGTGAGAAAATTGTTTCTTTCGCTGTGATTATTTTAAGCAGGATTTTGTTGTGAATGGATTTGTAGTTACTTTAAATTACTATGATTGATTATTCTTTTTTAAAAATACAAATACTAATTGCTAAATTAAAGCCTTCATTGTTGTTCAGGTAGAGAATTTGGCATCACTGAACCACATCTGGATTTGAAAATACATTTTGTAAGGATGTTGCAGTATAGTTGTATATGATTCTTTGTTATTGAAAGTAAGTGTTGCATACAGAAAGCTGTAATTCAGTCTTCATCTTTGTAAAACAAATTAGAGATCTGTACAAAAGGAAGTCACAGATGATGTATTAGCACAAAGATATTGAAAAAGCTGGACATAGTTGCACAGTACCACTAAATTTGTCTGGTTGTTTCTTCAGAGCAGAGGGCAGCAGTAAGATCCAAGCCCGAATAGAGCAACAGTCTGCCCGAGCATCTCAGCCTCCTTCACAGTTCAGAGCCCCAACCAAGCCAGCAGTTGGACCTAAAACTTCTCCTCTGAAGGACAATCCTTCTCCAGAGCCCCAGCTGGACGATATTAAAAGAGGTAAAGAAGGGTTTGTAGTTGTTTTGTCTTTCCTCTTTATAATAAAAACTATGGCTGTGCAATTTCTAAAAACATTCAGGGATTAAAAGATGGTACTTGACAGCTGTGTTGACTTCTCTATATATTATTTCTTTATTAATCTTAGTAAAGTGATTGATTATTCTCTTCTACTATAATAGGCATTTATACTGCCATCTTCTATGAGAGAACTTCCTCTTTCTTGATTATTTTCACTCTTCCAAACTATTTTTTCTGTTTAGAAAATAAGAAAAAAAAATTAATGTGAATTCAGAAACCTATAGTTCAGTGCTGGACCAATTGCATGGGTGTCCTAGGCCACCACAGCAGCAGTAACAAAGCATAATGGTCCAAGGTCTCCTTATACACTCAAGTCACTTGGAGAAAGTTACCCTGCTGAGTAAGGTTGGTGGGATGGAAGGGCTAGGCAGCTGTGTTCCCAGTACAAGACAAGCACTCATCATGCAATGCTAGCATTGAGGAATGAGAGAGTGAACAAACCTGCAGCTTATCCTCTTCCACAACCACTCCTTTGTAGCATTGACACACATGCCATATGGCTGCTAAACTTCTATTAAAAATGTACTTTAAAGGGATGATTGGCTCAACTCACTCTTCCGCTCAGGCAGTGCTTTGTCTTGGTGTTCTGCTGTGCGTAGGATGCGCTTTCTTTGCCTCTGCCCTTTTCCTACTGATGTGATACCTGCTTTTGCTGTGGATAATATGGTCAGGAAAAGTAAGACTTTAAATTTTTGTTTGGTTCTTCTCTGGCACTGACACCAGACACAATTATTTTATTTTAAGCTTGTTCTTTCTGTCTGCTTTTTTTTTTTTTTTCCTAGGTTTCTTTCTCTTTTTTCTCTGTCCCACATAGCTATTTTTGTCTGTAGACTTAGCCTGTGTTAATTGCCCAGATGAAGTTAATTACTCAGCAGGGTATTTTTTCAGTTTGTGGTAATCACTAGGTGACATTTTTGCTGTAAGCTGTGTGTTTGCATAGGTGCTGACTGGTCTCACTTTTCTGCAGTAGTAGTGTTTTCAATACTTGGATGCTGGTCAGCAGCCAGAATCAGCGTCTGAGAGATTCTGTTAACTACAGTTCCCTTAGCTGCATTGTTATTTTTTGTTTTCTGTATAATAGGTAAGGAGAAAGATAATAGGTGACATATAAATTTTTTCAACTGAATCAGTTGTGGATTTTAAATATCTTTTCCTGTAGAGTGTAATAAGCTACTTAACCTTTGGGGCACTCTTTTATATACATATAGCAATTTGTAAAGATTGTATTACAGTAAAATAGTTACATTTGTCTGGGGTGACACCTATTCTAAAAGATCATTTAGTAGTGGTCTAAAGTATAAGTCACATGGTTCAGAGTATTGTAATATTTTTTTGCAACCTGATAATATTTTATATGAAAGGGCCTCCAAATAAATAACCTGTGGAATTTTGTTTCCAAAATCAGGGTTAGAGCACCTGACTTGTACTAAAAATAGGACTTTAATTTGGTGCTTTATAAGGAGGAGTTGTACAAAGCCCCAGAAGAGCCAAAATCCTGGGTAGGGGTGTTTTTTTGCTTACAGTCTGTAACTTTTTCCAGCACTGATGATCTAAACTGTCAGCGTTGCTAAACCATTTATATCATAAGAACCTGCTTAAAAAAGGTAGAATTACAATGGCACCATTCCACAATGAAATGTAGACAATGACCTGTAAAAGCTGTAAGGTAGTCTGCAATTCTGTTATCTTCCCTTAATGTGTATTTTTATGGACACAGACTTGTAAGCTCTGAAGAGCCTGTGTTCTTTCCATTCAAGTAGTAGCTTTCGTTTTGGTTGAAGTACTTCCTCTGTAGGAAAGAAAGATAAACAGAAAGCTGAAACTCTGTGGGTTTGTTTAATGAACACAGCACAGAACTTAAACTTCCCAAAGGAGCTTCTTGAAAAGATCTCTGGCACTTTGACACTCTCTTGCTTCCAGTATGCCCTACTTAAGGGTGTGGTGAGACACGCAGTCCTCATGATGTTTCACAGTAGTTTTAAGGTAACCTCAGTGCAGGTTTCTGCTTTCTCTGGTACCCTCAACTATGCATTTTCACCTCTGCCTTACAGATGAGCTGGAAATGAGCTTTCAGGTAGGTCAGTTCTGTCCCAGTACACAGCTGTCCAAACAACAGTGTCTGAGGACAGAGTCAGAGCATCTGGGAATTGAACCAGTCCCTTGCTTCATGGACAGAGGCTTTTGGGAGGCTGTGTCAAGGGTTTTGCACAAGTGGAATCCTTTCCTCTTCAAGCTTCTATATTGTCCTCGTGCCTGAAGGGAGCATAGGAGGGGGTAGGAGCTTATTCTTTTGAACATTCAGCTACATCTGATAATGTCTCATTAAGCTGTGGACGTTTGCAGACATATACCACAATATAGCTATTTATTTGCACAAAATAATTGACATTTACCAGGCCTATTTGACCACAGCAGAAATGCTTTCAACAGCATTGACATAATTACAGCATGCAACATATTGATATATGTCAATAATATTGAAAAATTACAGCATGCAATAATACTGACATGATTACAACATTTGAGGAAAAAACTCACAGAATCATATTTCAGGTTTGAAGACTCAGTGCTTAAAAATCTGAGCAGATTTTATTTACCTGGAATGTGCCTGTGGTGTGTGAAGCTTATGCCATAGCACTGTGTTTGTCTCTCAAGAACACCTCAATCAAATTTTCTGCACATCAGTATAAAATACTGCCTCTTCTAGCTGCCGTCTCCACATGCTCAGGGTAACAGTATCAAGTTGATTTCTCCACCTTGCATTCTATTATTAACAGTAATTGCTCTGATACAGGCATGCAAACTTAACCCTCCCTAAAGCTGAATGACTGTTTTCTGGAAGTCCTTGGTGTTCTTGCAGTCTAAGGTGAAGGCTTCAGTTAAAAAAATCTGCATAACCTAATGGAATTGAGAGAAGAAGTAGGAACGCTCTTACGGTATTCGATAGTGAATATATACAGAAGACAGCCCTGTTGAGAAAGGCTGTTCTGTTTGGATAATGATTTCTGACCTTGACTTTTTTTTTTTTTTCACTCTAAAACTTTCATTGCCTGCCAGTGTAAAACAGTCATTTTGTCTTGAAAGAAATTTTACAGTTGTAAGATGAAATGTAGAGAAGTTAAGGTTCCCAAACCAGTGTCAGCCTTTTCAGATGATGTAGACTCAATTAAGGCAAGTATTCAAAACTGTACTGTATGGAAAGCTTTTTTTAAAAGTAACTGCTGCACATCCTGGCTCTTGTCATCTTTTAAACTACAAAGGTGTGTCGACATGAGGTGTTTGATCTTACAGCACAGGAAGATCGAGGAAAGGTCAAATTCTTTTGCTGTTCAGCTTAGAATATATGTACACATACACACTATTTTAATTGGAAGCACCATAAGGAAATGTTTAACCCACGTCTTCAGTACCTCGAAGTGTACTAAACATAGGAGTCAAGTGGGAAAATGCAAAATCGAGCCATCGTAAAGCAGCCATGTTTTTCCTGTAAGGCTTTGATGTCATCATTGGCCTAGTCACTGACAGTGTGAGACAAAGAGTGTTTTGAACAGAATTCATTTGTGATCCTACTGAATTTCTCTTGACAGATTTCTAGTGGTGCAGCAGCCACCAGAACATTAGTGAAAACGATTGCTTTTCTCTCATCTGCTCAGATAAGATGTTTAAAATTCTGGGCTTGAGGAAAAAGAGACAACAGAGATCTGAGGGGAAGCTGTCAGCCTGTGAGGCAAAAGTTGACTAGAAGATGGGCTCTGCCCAAGTTTTTACCTGTGACCAGTGTCACTGATAACAGCCTTAACTTCCCAGTCCTTGAAGCTTGTGATACTGCTTCTGTTTTGCCTTTTATTGCCTCTGTTTAGTATAGTGGGCTTTAACACTACTTCCAAGGCATTCTCTGGTTCCTTTCTCATAACCAAACCTCTTTTGTGGGCTCTTAGTTTTCTGCTTCCCCAGCAGAAATCTCCCGTTCTTAATTCTCGCACTAATCTACAATTGTTTAAAATTGGCCAGGCTAATCTTCCTTTCCCATTGGTCAGACAGCATCACTTCCTTCAGTGATCTCCTCACCTACTGTATTGAGTCCACACTTCTTGCTTAGGTTTTGGGGTTTTTTTCCTAGTTCTTAGGGTTTTTCCCCTAGTTCCTATTTCAGTGTGTTTTTGTTTTAACTTTTCCTCTCACCACCAATGCCTAAGATCACTTCACCTTCTTCATTCTATTTTACATGTGGGCTCTATGTTCTCAGTTCCTGTGCCAACATTCTTCCATTTCAGCCACAAGACTCCAGCTCTGTAGGCATACATGTGTACTTCTCAGGCACTTGTTTGTCCTGTGTTAGACTTGTCTGTTGTATCTTTTTGCAGTATGGACTGTGATAGGTGATTGTGCTTGCTGCAATCCAGGATATTCTAACAATGTATTATAATAGCTATAATTTGCAGCTAACAACTCCATTACTAGAAGAATGTAGAAATTTTTCATCATTAGGCTGGGGGGAAAAAAGTTGAAACCTGGGCATTTTAAAGAGAAAGTACACTTATTCCTGGTTACCTTTCCTTTAGCTTTCCCCTATTAATTTCCTAGTCTTAAATACAAGGAACATTTGTAATTTGAAATATGAGTAGGCTGAGAACAGTGATTCACAGGTGCTCATTTGTTTGTGTATCAGACTCCAGGCCTGAAATGTATTTCTAAAGCCTGCAAGACTGTGTTGAGAGGCAATAAGGGAGAAAGATATGACAGTACAAAGCAGTATCTGCTGTTGACCTGTTGAATCATATTTTCTTTCTCTTCCAGTGATCTCTTATGCTAAGTCTTCAAGCTGAAAGAGTAGCTTTTACCTGGCATACTGGTAAACTACTGAGAACACAGATAGTATAGGCAGGGATCTGGATTTAGGAGATAAATTGGAGAAACAACATCATTATCCTTAAATACCCAGCTGGAGTATAACCATAGCACTTGAAATTGAGCTCTAAACGTTGAAAGTGAAAAATAGTGATTTTAAATCTGACAAAAGAAAATACAATTTCTCAAACTAATACATGCTAAGCTAGAGGAATTGTCTCCAGTGAGTATTGTGGAGGCTGAAAACTTAGCTGTTACTCTTTATTTTAGGCAGCCCAAGGAAATGAGTCTTATTTAAAAAGGGACTCTTGTCACACATCTGACCTAACATGAACTACTCCCAGCATCAGTTCTCCACTTGTTCGGTAGGGGTGGTAATACCTCATCTCTCCCTTCTTTCATTCTTGTCCCTTTAGTCTGTGAGTTTCCAGGGCAAGCACTGAGTTCTAACCCTGTGGGTATAGTACTGTTAGCACAACAAAAAACTAAATTTTTAGGGTTTCATATCCCATTCTTAATTTATGTGTGGATGTTGTTCTTTCATGGAAACTTGCCAAGATGAACTGAGTCAGTAGATACTCAAGTCTTGTGGGTGGATACACAAAGGAGTTGAGCTCTACTGGTGTTTAGGACACTTATAATTATGACAAATTCAACAATATTGTATAATTTGGGGTGTCATACCTTAATAGCTCTTTAGTAGCCTGCCGCCGTGCTAATCTGAAGCCCCCTGGCTTCTGCTACCCAGCAGAGGCACAGTCAGCTGTGGGGGTCCTCCCCTGGATCTCGAGGAGAGTCGGGGAGCGGCTAAGGCAGAAAGTCACACTGTCTGCCTTGTTTGGAGGGGAGGTGGCATCCGAGGAGGTCATAAGGGAGTCAACTCAAGGCTGGGAAAACAGTTTCAGTTTTAGTCCAGGCTCCAGGGAGCTCTGAGCTACAGAGGATCTGGCAGCTGAAAGTGGCCTCGAGGCTTTTGCAACATCTTAAATACTGGGGCGGTAACAAGGGGAAGGGAATGCCCATTGACCAATGTGGGGGATTTTGGGGGGGTGTGGAAGGCGAAAGGATAGACAGATACAAAATCCAATGGGGGAATCCAATCCCTCGTCACCCAGGGTAGAAGATTCTGTAAGAATGGGATGGGGAGCCGACTGATGGACGAGGTACCAGGGAGGGGAGGGGGAAGTGCCTAAGCATTGTCAGGGACATTGGCACTGAGGGAAGAGCAGGAAAACTCAGGGTGGAACAGTTGGGAGAAAATGGGGTGTGGAGGGGCAAACCATTGCAGAACTGTTACAGAAACATAAAAACACAATACAACAGTAACCAGTCATTAAGCCAGCACTAGCTGTTGCTGATGAGGCTGTTGTGATGCTGTCATGGTGTTCCAGTGTTTCTTTGCACTGGAAATCCTAAAATGGGCCTTGTCTTGAGTTGTATTACTTCCTAGTTTCCGAGTAGTTTTCTTATTTCCTGGCTACTTGTAAGCTCTATAGAAGGTTGTGGTATTTTTGCCACTTCCCAGTTTGTGAAAATTCTCAGCTATTCTCATCTATCCTACTGCAAAGTTATTTGATGTCATCCATCTGCTTCTGAAATTTGTTTACAGTGGGCTTTGTGGCAGTGCTGAAGCAGTTTCACACATTATCTGATGTAAAGGCAGTTTCTGTTGTGATCATTTGCCCATGTCCATGTACCCACCCTCCCACAAACCATTTTTTGTGTTTTCCAAAAGCCTGAATATCACCAGCATCTAACAATTCAGATTCAGATTTCCTCAATCAGCTAATATGCTTACTTTGTATGTAGACCATAACCTGTCAGAAATAATGAAGCTGAAAGTGCTTTCAGGAATGTGAAGTATATAAAGAATAATTGTGGAAGTGAAGGTTTTATGATAGTAATCTATGCTGTTGCTTCTTTAAATTTAGGTACGGCAATAAGTAAAATAATTTTCAGGATTTTTTTGTTTGCCGTCCTGTCTTGATCTTTCATGTGAGATATTTTGGTGCAATAAACCATACTTGACAAAACCATTGCTTTTGCACATTCTTTTCCAAAATTCCATGGGGCCCTGTTTATGGTGTCAACCGGATGAATTCCTTGTTATTTCAGAGCTGAGAGCAGAGGTTGAAATTATTGAGCAGATGAGCAGCAGCAGTGGAAGCAGCTCATCGGATTCAGAGAGCTCATCTGGGAGCGAAGATGAAAGCTCCAGCAGCGAGGGGGAAGAGCCAGCACATGTTTCCCCTTCCCAGCCACCACACCAGCAGTATAACAACAGGAATGCTGTTGCTAATGGCACCAGCAGGCCACAAGGAAGCAATCAGCTCATGAACACACTCCGTAAGTAAATGCTTGTGTCTTACCACTGGTGAAAGCTGATTATGGTCACTCATTTACTTAGCATGTTAGGCTAACTTCATGAAATGCCTTTTGCCAAATAGTAGTTCCAGGGAGTTGCAGTGGCCAAAGTACATGGGCAGATTTTATGAACAGGGGGCTTAGACTTGTCTGAAGGTGTGGAGATCCTGTGGGCCTCAGCGCAGTGGCCCCCATTGTCCCTGCTGGGTCTTGATTCAGGCCTCCAAGTAGCCACTGGTGTGGGAGGATCTGGTGCACTGGAGGATGGGAATTATTTTCATGTGAATACACAGATTAAATGGAAATAGTGGGGTTGACACGTGCCAGTTAAAGGTCTATAAAGAACTGTTAACGGCTTAAGGCTGTCCTGGGTTCCTAAGTACAGTCTCTGTGGTCTTCAGAGTATTGCTGTGTCAACATATTTATTGTGTGGGTCTCAGCTGTATTTTCACAAATACCACATTTTGAAGGGAAATTTAAATTAAAGTTATGTTAAAATATTGCAGCTATGATATTGCAAGCATTGAATCAGTACAAGCCCACTTCACCCTTTAAAAAGTGTCAGGAACATTTTTAAAGCATAGTTCTGTCCCATGAGACTCTCTCTGAGGACATGGTGTGCATCTGTGTTGCTCTTTCCTTACACTACACCAGGTGTATTCTAACTCAATGGAGTTAAAATATTGCATTTGCAATTGCCATAAATTGTTCTTAATTCCTCCTGAGGCATGTTTGCACACATCTCTTGGCACCCATTCATAGGGAACTGGTGGAGTCTGAATACAGATATGTGTAGGGTTTCCAGATTTGAGAAGATAAGTATATTGTACAGACCACACAAAAAAGCCCTGCTGGAAATCTTAGAGGCCTGTCAGTCTTCCTGCCAGTAATGAAGGACTAAGTGAAATCCAAAGTTCAGCAAAGTCATTAGGACTGTGTCCATTTTCCTGTTTCTAGCCTCCTCCCTGCTTCTCCACAATAACAATACTGCACAGGTTTAATGATCTGAAGCCTCTGACTGCAGGAGAAATCTGGGAACCACTAGGGTAGCTCCTCTCTTCATACAATGCTTTTCGCCTTCGGGTTTAAAATACTTTTACTGTGGGGATACTCACCCCTAATCCAAGTTCTTGTTTTGTAAAAGGGAAGAGGAGATGAAGAAATCCAGGGCTTAGCTGTTGCATAGATGCCCTGCAGCTGTTTTTACGGGAGGGCCGTAGGATATTGCTGGAAGCGTTAGGTTCAATTATCAGAACACAAGCATGATTCTTACCACTTTTTATCCCCTTCCATCTCACCAAATCACAAGTGCTCTGCAAAACAGGATCAGAGCCAGTAGGTTTGATTCATATATGGTCTTTCATCCAATCTCTGCACTTTGGAGGACAGCCTTCACCTTCACAGCACGTGTCAGCTTAGTTCAGCCTTGAGTTGTGATGGCTTTAACAGTCCTTTTGGTTTATTGACATGTGGAGGCCTTGCCTTGGCTACCCAAATGGCCTTAAACTGAAAAAAAAAATCTGTTTTTAAAGGGTAAAAATAGCCAAGGAATTCCCCAATGCCTTGTCCTAGAGTCATACATGGGAGCTTTGGTGGGTGGAGGCTGTGGAATGCTTTCTGCAGCTACAAGTGTAGAGAGGGCTGTTGTCCCACCAGGGAGCCCCTTTGGTGGCTCTGGAGACAAGGATGCTTGGTTTGGCCTGAATCCAGCTGTGTATTAGCCCCATGCAGCTCTTGATGTTCTTGGGCAGTTTCATTAAATCACAGAAGATGTTTGCATTCATTTAATGTGTTATTCTTATTTAAATCTTCCAGTGTAAATGTGACTGTTCTTTGGTTTGATTGCCATGAAATGTGAATTAACACCTACTCGTGTTTTGTTGGTTTTTGTTTTCCATAGGAAACGACTTGCAGTTGAGTGAATCTGGGAGTGACAGTGATGACTAGAGGCTGAGCTTTTGCTGCTTCTGTTACATATACATGAAGAACTAATTTACCTTGAAGTGATCCTATTGCTTATGGAAAGGAGCTGGCACAGAGATGGTTCCATGTTTGGAATTTTAATAGAAGAAATGTATTGCCCTACAAAATAGAAGAAGTTGAGGACTGTTTTACTGTGTGAATTACGTGTATATATTGTGTATATTCTTCTTCTGCTAAAGCTTTGAGTAGATATGTACAGTGAGTGAGCCAATGTATGTTCCTGTCCACCATATGTAAGTTTAACATGTAATTATGTGAGGTCATCTAAAAATTTCTTGTTTGTAGGATAGCTTCAGCGCATCATGACTTTTTTGGGGGACTTTTGTATATATGGTGAGCATGTGCCTACAATGAGTATAAAAAACCATGCAGGAACTAGTGTGTGCACTGAAGTGGGACTGCCATAAATTAAGTTTCAATACTAAATTGATTTCTTTGGTTTGGGACTTTTCTAATGCCTTTTTATTGCTGTTTATGGTTGATTTAATAGACTGACTTTTAAACAGTTGGAAAATAGGAATGATTAAACCATGTTCGTCACAAACCTTGCTGCATCAGTGCCTTATAAGCAGGTTTTTTAAATAGTGCTTCAATTCCTACCACCTTCTCTATAGGGAGTAACACTGAAACATCCTCAGATTGCTTCTGCAAACAAGAGCTGTGTCTCATACAGCCTGCCGTGCTCTGAGGGCAGTGACTCCAGCAAGATAAAGGATACACATCAGTCACCTAAACTCATCCAAGTAAGAATCAGATAAGCATTCTCTTTACAAACTGAAGGGTCTCGTTTAATTCAGACATTCAGACTTAGTCTTCAGAAATACTTACAAGCCCAACTACTAGAGACATTGCAATGACACAAATGCAAAATATTTGACTTTCTGAAATTCTAAGACTGCAGCTCTCTCTGCAGTTTCCTAGAGAATGCAAAAATGCATCTCTCCCACCACAGTTGTAAAGGTAGACTTTAGTCCATATTGTTTATTGGACAAGACCTCTTTGTGCTTGGCAGGAGTACACAGAACATTAAATATTTGCCAAGGGTGAAATTCACCCCTGTTTAAAGGGTGCTTAGTTGGATTATTGTTAACTTTTTTGCTCACATGGAAAATGAGTGCCATAGGCAGCCTCTTGCGACTTTTTAAAATCAAAATTCTGCTGACATAGGACAAGTTACACCTTAGTTGTGGTGTAATCCTGGGGAATGGGAAGCTGAATCAGATGCCTCTTCATTCTCAGGTGTCTGCTTTGCACTGCTCTCATCTGTCAGTTTGTGTTTTAACTCCTGTTTGTTTACTGAGCTCTGTCCTTTTTTTTAACATGTTGACGAGCAAGGGGACATTTCAAGGGAGATTTTATTAAATGGTTTATTTTTTTGCATTAGATACATATTTAGGCATATTTTTGCATTATTGTACATACATTAAAAATACTTGGTTTTTTAAAGTGTTTTGTGATGTAGGTATGTATTTTAATGGACAGTTATAAAATATACTCGATGAAAAGCCACAATTGCTCTTCTTTTTTTTTTTTTTTCTTCTGTTCTCTTCCTTTTTCCCTGTTCTCCCTCTAACAATAAAAATGGTCTGTTTCACAAGCTTGTACCAATTTGGGATTTCACACTTTGGTACAGGAGATCTGCATGGTATGGTTTGCAGTCTAATAAATGTTAATGCTACTCCTGACTCTCCCCCAGCTGAAGATCTGAATAAGCAGGGAGACATTTTTCTGATGCCATTTCTCCATTACTGGAGTGAATGCCTGAATAATATTCTGTTGATATTATTTGCACTCAAATGGAGAAGCAGCAGAGTGCAGCATTTTCATTCCTTACCATCCACTACCTTCTCATGTACTCTGAAATCCAGGACATGTCATAGGAAGTTTATTAATTATGTGAAACTGTAGAGGGTAAGATAGCACCAGGCTACATTGATTTGAATCTCTGCTTTAATTGCTGATTAGATCAGCAGTTGGGAAAGCTTCATTCAGATAATCGATTTCTGCCTTGTTTTTGTACTTTAGGCCCTGTTTTCCTGCTCACCCCTCCCTGACAGATTTTTTTCCCCTTCTCTGTTTGTTGGTAACCAAATTAACATATTTTCACACAGCTGCACCACTTTTAAACTCCCTTTGGCCGTGCTTTGCATCCCCCTCAGATGCATCATATCAAGGGTGGCCTGTGCTTCATGAGCTGTTTATGTGCCCTTGTCTGCAAGCAGGTGAGCAACCACAGCCTGCTGGAGGGTGTGAGCCAGCCAGTCCCTGTGAGTGAGTGACCAGCTCCTCCCTCCCTGCCATTGTCCCAAGCAGCTCCTCGCATCTCCTGCCTGAGGAGCTCTCTGGCATCTCCACCCTTCCCACAGTTCTCAGGTACTTGGAATATATTTTGTGTAGGTGAACCATGCATAGGCAACTTCTGAGATCAGGAGAGGTGGCTGCCACCACCAGCAGCAATATGTTGACTTTTTTCTGAATACACCTGTGTGTTTTAAAGGCATTGCCAGCCTGACATTTTGATTGAGGCCCTTGAAATTTTATGTTTCTTCTATTAAGAGACGTTAAATGTTGTCTGTTCATATTAGATGCCTGTTCACTGATTCAGAAGTTGCAGTAAATTTCATTTGGATGGAAAAGTGGAATCCAATTAATTATTTATAATTTTCTTAATTAGTTAGCAATATATTTAACGTGCTGGAGAAATAAGTTGACTAAAATGTTTTGATTAAGCCTGTTAATGAAATGGTAGATTCTAATCCTGCAGGATTTTAGCTCTAGCACATTTTATCACCACACAGTAATTTTTCCACATAAAGCAGGAATGTCTTTTATATGCCAGTTGGTTAAAATGTGCATTAACAGTGTATGTGGAGTACAATTATGAGAATGAATTGAAACTAAGGATTTTTTTGCATTCACGGAGAGCTGCCTGCTGGCCACGGCAGGGTGAGCAGTTCAAGGCAGCTTTGGCTTCTGATGGTTTCTTCTGTTCAGTGACTTCATTCATTTCAGTGGTTTGGCTTTCCTTAAACTTCACCAGCAAACATGGCCTTCTTCTGACTTCTCATAACTAGAATTGCTGTAGGAATAATAAACAATAATGATTTAAGTAGATTGTCACAATTTCAAATATTGGGTTTTGGTTGTTTTTTTTTTTTTTCATAAAAATGCTTGGTTTCCAAAGGGACAAATTCAGTCATCTGCTTGTCGGGGTGGGATGTCTTAAAATACAATTGCAGCAATGCCTAAGCTCATGTTTCAGATTTTAGTCATGTGCAGAAAAAAAAAAAAAAAATTCACCCATCTCTGTCCTTGTTCCAACCCCAAGGGCTGACCAGCCCTGCCAGCAGGCATGGCTTGCATCACTCCAGCTAAACCAGAGGAACAGCCACCTCTGGGCAAAAGGTGTCCCAGTCCCCTGATGAGAGTCACATGTGTAAAAGTGGTTGGCACTGCACTTTCTTGTTCTACTGAAGCATCTCCCTCCTCTCACAAGTCTTGACTGAACTGATTTTGTGGGGAAGGCAGCCTGATGGAAAAAGGTTTTTCTTCAGCATGTCTCGGAATAGCTCTGCATTTGACTGGGGGTAGTACATCTATTTTGAAGATGCTCTGCCTTAGTTGATTTTCAGTTTCCTGTATTATAGACTAGATATAGGCCTGTTTATGTATAGAAAGAGTTTGATGTGCCAAGCTTTACAGGTTTTTTTTTCCTCCTTTGAAGTCCATTTACTTGAGTTGTCAAAAAAACCCCAAAAGTTCAACAATCTGTGCATGTCTACTTTTTTTTTGTCATTTGAAAACTAAGAGAAGCATGGCCTGGAAATGCATGTGTTGGAGAACACTTATTTTCAGTAATTGCCTATGCTTCATTATTCAGTGTGCTAGCTGCTGAGTCAGAGGGATCCTGTGGAAAACACAGCTGCCCAGGAATGGGCATCTTGATGGGATGAAGGCTTCTGATGATAACTGTGGATTCAGCTGCTGGATGAATGACAACATCTTGGATCTGTCTGGCTATTTGCAGTTTGTTATACCCACACAAATACGTCTGCTATCAAAAGGAAAAGAGTATTGCTGATGCTTGCCTCACAAACAGAAGCTGCCACACTGGGGGACAGACATGTGAACTAAAAGCTGTTGATCCTACACCCAAACCCTGTTCTCAGAAGATAAGGGATCAACAAAACTAACAGTCAGTTAGGCAATAGCTGCCTCTGGTTTATGTGAGAAGGGTGTGTATATAAATGGAAAAGTCTCTGTTTAGCTATTGCTTCCTATTCCCACTGCTTACACTCCCTTCCTTTCTTTCTTTTGTAATTCCATTACTTCTAGCATAGTTATGTTTTCTGCTGCCAAAAAGTCCTCCAGGAATTTACAAGAAAGGGGATAGGTGTTGAAACGTTACAAATGCACTGGCTGTATTCATCCTTGCTCTAAACCTACTGTAAATACTGTAAATTAGAAAGACCTTGTGAATGGACCCATCTTCCTCTCCCTCCTTGTCTTTGCCTTTGTTAGGACTAAAAAGTATTCCTTTGGACAAGAGAAAGAAAGGGCAAGATAACAGAGAGTGAAAGACATGAAGCTGATGCTGCATATGTTGAGGATGTTGTCATGGAGCCATGGCCTGAGCTAGCCTGACTTGATCTCACAGCATTGTTGTAAATTTGACACAGAGTTTTCTTCCATACTACTGAGGCTGGACTCAACATCATGATCAAAATGGTGTAAACTAGAAAATAAAGCCCCTGATTAACCATTAGCCAGTCAAAATACCAGGCTTGGTGGTTAATTAATCCTGCCAGTGAACTCATCTCCCAAATGCCATCAAGAGATTTTAAGGTGCAATAAATATATTGCAGCTGTGTCTGTGCTAGCAAGTAGTACATCCCAGGAGCGGATCTCTAATGCAGGAGAGTGCTGAGATTGCAATGTGCACACTGTCCGCCTTTCATCTGAGAGGAAGCCACCTCTTGTGCCCTCTTCATGGTGCAAACCACAGCAGGGTAAGTAGGGATGATTGGGACATTCACTTTGTAAGTGCTCTCCTGACCTGGGCTAACTACTAATGTGTATGCACATTGTATGAACTGGCCTCATTCCAGCTTCTCTGCAAAAATACTGGGATTAGAAACACATTAAGAAATACTGCTTAATCCCAGAAGCATAATATTAGGCCTTACGGAGACATTCTTGGTATTGCATTAATATATGAATCATACTGAATAGTAATAACACAGGATCAAAAACCTCAGACAAACATTTAAAAAAAGATCTTCTACATGAGAAACTCATATTTTCACAAGCTTTAAGGCATAAACAGTATTCCTAATTAATACAAAATTAATACAAATCTCCATCTTATAAGGTGCTAAGTGACTATGCCAAATCAGAAGGAAGGCTGTCAGCAGCACAGCTAGGACCAGGCTCCAGACTTTCCAATCTAATCCTATCAGCAGCCTCATGCCCGCAACATCAGCACAGGGCTTGTCCGTGCAGGAAGGCATCCCAAGAGACTGAGGCTGTTTGCTTTTAAGAGCTTAGGCTAACCTTGGAAAGGAGGGCAGCTTTCTTTTCCATGGGGTGTTGACCGGGCCAATGTCATTGCTGTCACCGCCTGTGCTTGGTTTTTCACTGCTCTTCCCCTAAAGCAAATGACTGTGTCAGAAATAAGGGATGCTTCCAACATCAGTGTGCACTTACAGAGCAATTGCAGCAGAAGTTAGGGCAAGGTCTGGGCCAGTGCTGTGCTTGGGAAAAGACCCTCAGGGTATGATGTGCCAGATACTGCACTATCTGTGTCAGTTCACACCAGTGCTTGTACCAGTATCTTTTTTTTTCCCTCGTACACAATACAGTCAATTTTCCTCTGTTTCTCCCCTCCTTTAGAAGGAAAGTAAATTGCTGCAGTTAAAATCGTAAGTCCTCATAAAAACCTGCTTGTGCCCAGAAAGCTAAGTATCAGAGCTTGCCTAAAGCTTAAGAAGTGGCATCATTTTCAATAAATTTACATCTCTAAATAGATGGTAAGTGTTGAATCAATTTCCATATGTTAAAATAGCAGAGCATTAAGGATTCTGGCACTTCAAGCAATCAACTAATTTGCGACTATTATGAGAATATCTTTTGTACTAGCAGACCAATTCATCTGAAAATCAGGGACAGTCTGCAGCTCTGTGCCCTCTCAATATCATAAAGGATCACAAATTAACCAAAAAAATACTGTTTGTTTGCCTGAAGAGATTATGGCATTATGACATTCAGATCTTTGCAAAGTCACCTTTCAGCTCTTAATAAGCCAATTCATAATGTCTGCCCCACCTGGCTTTCCTGGCTACACGGTCTGCTCATGGATACACAGATCCAGCAATAAACAAGAGTGTTGGCAGATACTTCCTGGTGAAAAAGGCAGGAACTGTGATGTAACAACTTATGTGTCCAAAAAAGATGCAAGGGCAGAAGGTATCCAGTGCTTTGCTCCCAATTTCTCCCGCCCCTGTATCCAG